CCTGTCGCCCTGGGCCACTTACTGAACATTCATAGCACAATCTGGGTCCGGGGCACGTTAACCCTGGTTCCCACAGGTAGGCAGAAAAGGCTGACTAGTATCGTACCCTCTTGTTCGTCTGAGTATAATCTACCATGTACTCAGACGCCTCAGCCTGAGCATTGATCCAGGTAGTGCAAGGGTAACCTACTACTTACCCTCTTATTCGTCTGGGTGAACTCCACCATGTACTCGTACGCCTCAGCCTGGGCGTTGACTCGGGTCTCAGTGCCCTCGACAGGCAGTGCAAGGGTAACCTACTACTTACTTACCCTCTTATTTGTCTGGGTAAACTCCACCATGTACTCGTACGCCTCAGCCTGGGCGTTGACTCGGGTCTCAGTGCCCTCGACAGGCAGTGCAAGGGTAACCTACTACTTACCCTCTTATTTGTCTGGGTAAACTCCACCATGTACTCGTACGCCTCAGCCTGAGCATTGACTCGGGTCTCAGTGCCCTCGACAGGCAGTGCAAGGGTAACCTACTACTTACCCTCTTATTTGTCTGGGTAAACTCCACCATGTACTCGTACGCCTCAGCCTGAGCATTGACTCGGGTCTCAGTGCCCTCGACAGGCAGTGCAAGGGTAACCTACTACTTACCCTCTTATTTGTCTGGGTAAACTCCACCATGTACTCGTACGCCTCAGCCTGGGCATTGACTCGGGTCTCCGTACCCTCCACAGGCAGTGCAAACGCGTCCATGACGATGATTGTGCCGTCCACCACCTTGCCCTGCATGATGCCCATCACCTGCAGAGGGAGAAGACGGGGTTAATGGGGTTGGTTGTATCAGCTGTGATTGTATCAGAGTAAACGCGTCCATGACTATGATTGTGCCGTCCACCACCTTGCCCTGCATAATGCCCATCACCTGCCATGGGGAAGGGACGGAGTTAATGGGGCTGCTTATAACGGGCGTATTCGTTACAGAGTCAATGCGTTCATGACAATGATTGTGCTGCCTACCACCTTTCCTTTCTCTATGCCCATCACCTGCTATGGGAAAGGGACGATAACACTAAACGTGCGTTTGACAGGCCTACTTGTTACATCAAATGGAACCCAATGCGTCAACGACGGTGATCCAGCATGACGTTCTTTGGTGCACGGATTCTGCAACAGCACGTCCGCGCAAATGCGGTCGTCATAGCTGTCAGGTCTGAGCATCCCCCTTATCCCATCAGTGCGTTCGGGCGCACTGATTCTGCTCTCTTGGGTGCTGTGCTGCGTGCCTTCAGTTCAGGGCCCTGAATTGTAAGCGCGTTCAGGCGCACCTCAGCCGACTTACAATTCACACCTCGTCTCAAACGGTCTGAATCGTAAGTTGGCTGAGTCTGTTTTTGAGAATTCTAAAAAACAGATTCTGCTCTCTTGGGTGCTGAGTAGCTTCAGGTCAGGGCCCCTCGTCTCAAACGGTCTGAATTGTAAGTCGGCAGAGGTGACTTCTGAATCGACTGAGGTGACTATTGCGTAGACTTGAATATGACCAGGAATTCTGCTTTCTTTGGCTGTGAGTCACGAGTTCAGGGACCCTAAGCTCGAAGAGTTTAAAGCCCTCGTCGAAGACGGGTATCACCTCGAGTTTGTGAATTTGTAAGAGGCATCAACCACGCACCTCGATCGTATCCCCCGATCGCGCGTGGACGACCATTTTCAGAAGCGCGAGCGCGGAGATTCGGACGTTCTTAAAGTAGTGCGGGTCTTTGGTCCATGGCTTCTGCGACAGCACGTCCGCGTGGATTCGCTCGTCGTAGCGGTAGATCGTGTCCACGTCAGCGGACGCCAACGGCTCGATTCGATTCTCCAGCTCCCATGTTTGCCGTGCTTGTAACGAGTCCATGGCGACGCGACCGGAGAGGGGGAACAGAGTATGGCAAAGAGAGCGAGAAACTCAATCAGAGGGACGGACTAAAGGCGAATTACTATGCTGTGAGCATAACTGATGAATGTCGACTTCACTATCCTTCTGCTCTAAAATTCCTTCAACCAACGCATCCTAAATGAAGCGGTAAGGAAGGGACCTCGTTTTCGAGTCCGACTACACTATAGGTTGATGTCATTTTTTTGGTATAAAATGTACCGATTCATGTCATGTTCATATTTGTAGGTATATCAAAGAGCAAAAGGAGTAGAGAAAACAATACACCCTGCAACAGAACATCTGCATAATTTGGGTGGAGAATACAGTTGGCCCGACTAACAAGAAAGAAGTTACAGCAGCAATAGCCGCAACCATTCTTTAACAAATCCCAACCATACTAACCCACCCCCCCTTCCCAGTCCCTCATCCTTGCCTATGACCCTCTGCTTTCTCCTCCCATCCCTGCAACCCCAATCCAACCCCTACCAGCCCCCCCGCCATTCCCAGGACCAGCAGCACCGCCCTCTATCACTACAATGCCTGAATCCTCTAAAAATGCCCAATTCACCGCCCCTCTTTCCCCCCCACAAACCCCCCACCCCCCTCAACATTCTGAACATCCCCCCCATCTATGCCCATCCACCCCAATGCCCTGCTTACCATACCATACCCCCTTTACCCAAGTCCCTGTTCCGCCTGCCACAGTCCATTTTTCTCTCCAACCCATCCCCCGGTCATCCTACCCTTCTTCCAACGCTCTTGTTGTGTTCCGGAAAGCTCGCGTCGCCTCTCAAGTGAGTCACTTCCCGCCTTTCTTGGCCTTGGGAGACTGGGGCGGCGTCTTGAACTCAACATAGTACTTCTGGCGCTCCGCCGCCGCGTCATCGGCGCGCTTCTTAAGCTCCGCCTTCACGAGAGGCACGATGTGCTCGTCGATAAATTTCGCCGCCTCCACCGCGTCAACCACGTGCGCGCTTCCGGGAAGAAGCGCGTTCAGCCCCGCCTTGCCAAGCTTCTTCGCCGCTGACACGGCCACGTTCTTCTGAACCTCCGGATCCTTCGCAGGCAGCCGTTAGGCTCAGCGCGAAAGCCGCGAGAAAGGTGAGAAGGAGGACGTGGCGGAGGGCCATGGCGGCGGAATGGATGGATAGCGGGCGGTATCTTAGACGATTGAAAGGCAATCGTACTAAGCTTTTAGATGTCCGGAGGACTCTTGGAGAAATGCAACTGACGAGTTAAGAGGTAACTGTGGCTATTAGAGATGTTGATCAAATGATGTGCTGAGAGTCAAAGTCCCGTCTATAAAATACTACTGCGCGCTGACACCTATGGGTTAACTGCGAAGGGATTCCGAATCGGCTGCAGTAGTAACGTGGGCTCGTCCCTGCCGCACGACCGACTGAATAATTGTTAGAAATACGGCAGTCGCATCGCATCTTATCACAAAATTTGCCCAGCGCAACCGCAGCGAGCGCTACTACGCGAGCCATGAGCTTCTCTAGTGCGGCTTGAAATAATCGCGTAAAAATGGGCTGGAATCCTACTTCGTGAGCGGAGCAGGGAGGCTGGAAAACGTTGGCGGAGTGGGCAGCGAATCAGTTTTCTGATTATTGAATTGCAAATTGAATCGCCACAAAACTTGCGGAATCCCACAGAACCGCAATAGAACGTACACGCCTACAGAAACTGTCATAGCCAAGCCCCATAATAACGGTGGGCTATGCTTTCAAATGAGGTGTAATTTAAAGGGTACAAAAACATGTTGGGTAATCTTCTAAACGACTCCGTTATACCAAGGTTCTACTGTCAAAACCTGAGCTATAGCGAGGTATTTTAACGGCGGTGTTTGTCGAACATCCGAAGATCCTTTAACACCCTTGCAATTGCTTCTATTGAAATGTTTTACCTCACCTAGGGATTTCCCACCCCTCAGTGACGTATTTGTGGAGGAGTACTTTACAAACGAATTTGCAGGTTCGTGGATCAGGCACGTGGTGCTTGCAGCAGGAATCATAGCGAGGCCCAATAATTACGGTAGGGTATGACTTGAAATGAGGTGCAATTTAGAGGGTACAAGTACGTGTGGGGAATCTTCGAAACGATTCCATTATACGAAGGGTCTACTGTCCAAAACTAAGATATAACGAGGTATTTTAGTGACGGTGTTTGTCGAGCATCCGATGTTCCTAGAAACCCTCTACATTGTTATTAGTGAAATATTGTACCCCTCCTAGGGATTTTTTGCCCATCAGTGACGTATTTGTGGAGGAGCATTTTACAAACGAATTTCATAGGTTCATGGACGGTGGTGCTTGCAGCGGAATCAAAGCCAAGAACCCCGTATTGCCGGTGGGCTATGCTCTTTAAGAATATGTAGCTAAAAGTGTACAAACACGTGACAGGTAATCTTCTAAATGACTCCGCAATACGGAGGCCCTACTGTCGAAAACAAATCTATAACGAGGTATTTTAATGACACTGTTTCTATTCTATTTATTGTACCTCTCCCAGAAACTTCCCACTCCAAGGGAATCCCACCCTTCCCACTCTGCACTTCACAAACCTCCCCATTCTGTCCGTAAGGTATCCGGGCCAAGGGAAAACCGAGCCCTGAAAATATATGAGCTCAGATAAAACTAACTCTACAATCTTAGGGAAAACGGACAGATGTCTGTCAATCGAAAATCATGCTCCCGCAAGATGCGGTTGGAGTTTCGATTGGGCAGCGCCAGTCTTTGGAGTGCTGCTTCCTCCGATTATATGATTCCCGTGGGAGGAAAAGTGTCGCTGCCGCATATCTCGGCGGACAAAAGGCACTTCCGCATACATCGCTTGATAACCTCATTCGATTGTGTGCGCATGCATTACAGTGAATGCAATGTTCGACTATGCTTCTGGTATGATTGTGTTTCCCAAACTCTGTATCAAACCTTGGGACAGAAAACATTCAGCGCTCGAATCCCGCCCCGAGTATTTCCAGCTAGTTCTGTCTGCTCCTAAGATCCCTCCTCGGTCGCGCCCTTCAATCCTCGTTGGAGCTCCATTCGAATCCGCAAATAACGCGCTCGCATCCAACGAGTGGCGACACGCGCGCAACCATGGAGTCGTTTTTAGGAACACTCGGTCAGTCCCAACACATCGTTATAGTGCCTCCAACCCGTTACGCTCTCACGAGATGTTTGAGAGTTTTCAAAAATACCTTCGTTTATGCGTGAAAAACAGACGTTTCGTTTGCATCGCTGTGTGCCTTTCACGCGCTCCGACGTAATCAAGGAGGCTCGGTCTCACAAGGCAACTGTTGAGGCGCCTCATTAACAGTCTTGTTCTAAATCTCATATGCTGGATTTTGTTTGTCAGCAACGCATCTGTGCAGCTTCATGTGTGGCTTGCACCCTCTAGTAGCAATACTCGCGAATTTTCGCGAATTTTTCTCTCTTCAGCAATAAAAATAATACTAGTGCGGCCCACTCGCGTCTCATTTCCAGTGGGTCTTCTGAATATTGTTATTTGTTGCGTTTGATACTATATTTTCGTGCAGGTCTGCTCACCACGTGTCTCCTTCAGGCAGCTTACTGGTTCGTTCCCCATTGCTCGTTCTCCTATGCCTTTCCCATACCTCTTCCACTCCTAACCCGTGCCATTCCCATGCCACCATGAGCTACCCCTGCCTTCCCCATGCCCCATCCATGCTTCACAGCCTGTTGATTCCTATCACACAGTCCCTCTTAGGCAACAGCCCCCATGATCAACCAGCGTCCCTCCTTTGCTACAATCACTATTTTATCCCCTCATAATCTCCTCTCGTATCCCACTCGTCGTCCCTCTTCTCAGGAACGCCTTCCAAGAAGCTTCCTCGCCCTATTCCCGCAGCAGCATCTCTACAGCTCCCTTTTCCTGCTCCCTTCTCTCCTCCCTCCTCTGGACTGCCTACGCCCTCCCTATAGTCACACCCCGCCGCGTCCTCTTCCTGCTCGCACACCTTCTCCAATCACTCTCCCTCTCCGCGCTCCTCCTCGCCCTCCTCTCCTCTGACTCCTCCAGCTACACTTTGCGCCTGGTACGCTGTTCCCTGTTTTGGAGAATCAGAAAGAGAGAGTAAAAAAAAAAAAAAAAAAAAAGAGAGAGAGAGAAAGAAAGAAAGAAAAGAAAACCTGACGATATCAAGAACCTCCGACTACAACCTGCTTCTCGTACGTTGGAATACCCAGTAGCAAAGATCCACCGCTCCTCAGGGGGTGACCCAGTGAAGTGACGATGATGAGGGGTAGATATCTTTGCAAGACAGGTCTGTCTCGGTCCCTCATCCAGACCAGACCAACACCTCCCTCCCATGGGCTTTTAGTAAACTCAAAAGTGGTCCTTTATCCACACCAGCACCTCTTGCAATTCCAACCAGCACCTCTCACACTGGTCTCGGCCTGTCTGTATTCCCTGCCCCTCACCCCCTCCCCCTCATCCCTCAGCGGCAGGTGCTGCAGCTGCTGCTACCGGCCTCAGGTCTCTCCATCCTGGTGCTCTTTCTCGGATCCTTCTTCGCGCCTTCCTCCCACGTGATTGGATGGACTGCCTCGGCTGCTGCTGCTCTCCTGCTCGCCTCTCAACCCCTCTCTCGCATGGTACGGGCTGCTGCTATCAGTTCTTGAGATGAGTTTTGAGCCGACTCAGAAGTCACCGTGCTGCTGTTTTTCTGCTCGCCTCTCAGCCCCTTTCTCGCATGGCACAGGCTGCCGCTCAAAATCACTGTGCCTGTTCTGTTCTAATCTGGTTTATATGTACCGAAGTACTACTTGGTGAGGGTGCTATTAGGTGAGGGTACTACTAGGTGAGGGTATAGTAAGGTAAGGGCATGCTTGTATAACTTTTGAGAAACCTCAAGAGAGGTACATGTTATTGTTCAAGTCTGAGATTAAATCACTGATACTGTACAGAGAAGGCAGTGTAATAAGGAAAGGACACCATCGGAATCAGGCATCACACGTCCACTTCCCATTCATGCCTTCATGTCAAAATCCCGTTCCCTTTTTCCATCCTCTCCTCATCCGCTCCTCCTGTCATCCCTTCATCCTGCATCAGCTCAGGATGTTAGACACGACCACTTTGGTGCCTTAATCCCCTCATGCCCTGGTGATCTCATTCCCTCTTCCCCAAATCACTTCATTTCCTCTTCCCCAAATCACTTCATGCCTTCTTCCCCGCATCCCTTCACCCCGCATCAGCTCAGCCTGTTGGACACGGCCTCATGCGCCCAGCCATCACACCTCTTCATCAGCTGCTCAGCGCTAGCTGCTGCATGCACATGAGCTGGCTTTTGCGTTGCTTCTCACAACAATCACTTCCATGCCGTAATCTCCTCATATTTACTATGACCTCATTCCCTCTTACCCTCTTCCCCGCATCCCTTCACCCCGCATCAGCTCAGCCTGTTGGACACGGCAACAGGCGCCCAGCCATCGCACCTCTTCATCAGCTGCTCATCGCTAGCTGCTGCATGCTCGTGGGCCGCCTTTGGCTTTGCCGCTCATGACCACTTCATCGCCGTGAGTGCCCCTCGTGAGGTGCCTCAAAATCAGCACTTGCTGTTGTTGCAAGCCCATGGGTTGACTTTGGTGTGAGGGTGCCTCAAATCTTCAGAAAAAAAAAAAAAAAACTCGAATTCCAAGCTTCCATCTCCGCCTCCCCCCTTCCTGCACGCTCGCCTCAGCTTTCTCTTCGAGCATTGAGGTGTATTTTGAGGCGCCTCAAAATACGCCTCCCCTCTTCCTGAACGCTCGCCTCAGCTTTCTCTTCTCCTCCTCTTCTTCCTCCCTTTGCTTTCCCCTTGCCGTTTTTCCTTGCCATTCAGGTGCCATATGTGCTGGTGGCAGCGCTTGAAGCCCTCTTTCTTGCTCTTTCCACATTTATGGGGTGAGTCTATTTTTGAGTCGACTAAATAAAACTTGCTCTTTCCACATTTCTGGGGTCAGTGAGTTGATCTGTGAGTCGCTCTCTGCCATCCTCACAAGAAGCCTCCATCCACGTTCTTTTGCCGGCACAATGCTGCATGAAGTGCATGAACCAACCGCACCTGGCTTAACTTTCAACCCCAGAAAGTCATTTGTCTCTTATGTAATCGCCCTCCACCGCTGCACGCCCGTCCCTCTTCGTTTCTCCACCCCTTCCCCTCCCATCCGCAACACCCTTCATTTCCTACCCATCCTCACCACGTTTTACTTCCCACCCATCCTCACCCCCCTTCAATTCCCACCCATCGATTCCGAACCATCTCCACCCATCCGCACCCCTCTCCCAGCGCGGCCAGCAGTGCAGCGTCACGGCAGCGGGCAGCAGAGGGTTATGAGCTGGTTGCCCCCACAGCGTCTGAGTCAGGCCTGGCAGAACAATCGCTGTGAGTAGTCCCTGCTGCTTGTGTACCGCTTTTTTAGACTTATCAGAACATAAATAACTCACGGCCAGCAGTGCAGCAGAGAGCAGCAGAGGGCAGCAGAGGGGTGTGTATGAGTTGGTTGTCCACACAGCATCAGAGTCGAGCCTGGCAGAGCAATCACTGTGAGTGGCCCATAAATACCCCTGTATACCGGTGTATACCCCTGTGTATGCTTGTATTTACCCACTGTATGCTCCTGTATGCCCCTCTATCATCTTCCCACTGCTACTGCGATATCTCCAGTCTCCCCTCCCATAGCACTTGCTCATCCTCTATGTTTAATTGTTGTGCTACGCTTGCTTGTATCGCATCACATGTGTGCAGAGAGGATGCACCGGATGAGTTTGACGAGTGGTTACAAATGGATGTGCTGCATGGCCGTAGACTGGCTTAGCAGCGATACATAACAATGTAATAATTTGCGAAGGTGTACAGTGCCCAGATCAGATCTGCTTTAGTGTATCAGAAAGATCTGGCTCTGTAACTCGAGCATTGGTTTTTGGAGTTAAGTATCAGTTGCGTAAATTATGGGAACACAAAGGAACCACTTCCTCCACATCAGGTACCGTACCTGGCCTGGAGGCACTTCACTTCACCCAGCCTGTTAGAATAGTAGCTAAGAAGCTAGGGTTTGGGAAGAGAGGTGAAGGGAGGTAGACCACCTAAGACAAGATAGGTACACTAACTAAACATGCAATTATATAAGAATATTACATTCTGACATAGCCCCATATCAGGCACTGGGTAGGAGAAGGTTAAGAATACTACAGCAAAAATGGTGATACCGTACAATGGTGATAGCAACCAGGACATTATTAGATCCTGTATGTACCTACCGGTATATGAAACACAACTTGTTCTTGCACCATCTAAAGAGCGCATCAGTGCACATTAATTCCAGCTCGAACCATTCCAGAACGTACCTAGGAAGAGCTCAGCTCACCCAAATATGTCACCTCACCTCCTAATGGTGCAGTCTATATTCCAACTGGCCAGCAGGCTGGCAGGCCAGCAGGGCATGTGCCCCTGACTCTGAACATCCCCTCCCCTCCACTCCCCCCCACCCTCACATCATCTCATCACTCATCCATCGGTGCTCCCGCCTTCCTTTGAAAATATAATTGTCGGACATCTCACAATTTCCCTCCAGTCGCTACTTTCCGGCTGCTGGCACATGAGTCTTGAACCAGGCCACAGACACACAGGTTACCCGCACTCTCCTCAGCACCGTATCCAGATTCACCCTCGTCCCTGTGTTTCCGCCTTGATGTTGAGCTTAATCGTATTTCTCCCTGCAGCCCTCACAATATGCACACACTCGTCCATGTCTTGAGGACCCGCCACCACCACCCACTCGCCGTCCTCGTCCAAATACTTGAGCGAGAATGCCCCCACCGGGCACTCTCAGCCGGCTCGCCACTTCCTCGTGCAGTGAGGTGTATTTTGAGGCGCCTCAAAATACACCGGGCACTCTCAGCCGGCTCGCCACTTCCTCCTGAACCAACTGGTACCCACCGGAGAGGCAAGCCCCTGACTGGCCATTCTGACAGTCCCGCGCATCAACCTCGTCCCTGTGTTTCCGCCTTGATATTGAGCTTAATGGTGTTGCTCCCTGCTGCTCTCACGATGTGAACACACTCGTCCGGGTCTTGAGGGCCGGCCAGCACCACCCACTCGCCGTCCTCGTCCAAATACTTGAGCGAGAATGCCCCCACAGGCACCCTCAGCCTGATTCACCCTCGCCCCTGTGTTTCTGCCTTAATGTTCAGCTTTATGGTGTTGCTCCCTGCCGCTCTCACTATATGAACACACTCGTCCATGTCTTGAGGGCCGGCCAGCACCACCCACTCGCCGTCCTCGTCCAAATACTTGAGCGAAAACGCCCCTACGGGCACTCTCAGCCTGCTTGCCACTTCATCCTGCACCAACTGGTAAGTTGAGGCATTCAAAGGCACTCTGAACCGGATTGTATCCCCCCCAAACGTGGCCTTGATCGTTACCACTGACTGGCTCCCTCCTCCCGCTGCTGTGGCCGCTCCTGCTCCTCCTGCTCCGGTGCTGGCAGCAGCAGCAGAGGCAGAAGCAACAGTCCTGTCTGCCTCCCAGAGGTGGAGTGACGTGGTTGGGGCATGAGCATGAGAACCACCACCAACTGCACCGCCACCAGCACCACCAGTACCCCCAGACCCAGCACCCCCAGCAGCCCCTCTACCCACAAACCCACTCTGCCCGGCCCCTCCCGTGCCTGCATGACGGAGAGCAGCCATGTCAGCAGCACAGGGCGCACCGCCACGCAGCCGCCCTCCTACCCCCCCTGCCGCGCCCTCATGCCCCTCAAACCCCCCCCTGCCTCCCCCTGCTGTCCCTCCCCCTCCCTGCCCGTCCCTGCTCCCTCCTGCATGCCCCTGCTGCTGCTGCTGCTGCTGCCCTTGCTGGTGGTCGTTGGATTGGTCCCCTGCAATGGGCTGGTAGCTGCGTAGAGCCACAAAGGCCGACCGCCCCCCGTGCACCCGCGTCTCCTCCCTCTGCTGCCCTCTGCCCCCACCACCACCGCCACCAGCACCAGCAGTCGCAGCTTCAGGCTGCTGCTGCTGCTGCTGCTGGTGTGGAGGGTGCTGCTGTTGGTGCTGCTGTTGTTGCAACCATTGCTCTGCAGCACAACCCCCTACCGTGCCTGCTTGCCCACCCAGGCTCATCCCCAGCTGCCCGTCCCTCTCCCCCTCCCCACCACCTCCTCCCCCACCCCCTCCCACCTCATGTCCCCCACCGCCCCTCCCCTCCCCCGTATCCCCCTCTCCCCTTCCCCCTGTCACCGTCCCTCCAGCCAACCCCATTTCCTCGTCACTCCTCCGAAGCAGACTGGCCAATAGGCTCGTGCCATGTGTCGTGCCCTCGTCATCCCCCCCAGCAACAGCCCCACTTGCTCTCTGCGTCCCGGCTCCGTTCTTAAGACTCAAAGCAAGGCTCAGATTGGAAGTAGACGGATCACGCGGAATCGGCAGCTTGCCAGGTGGCGGCGTCTTATTCGCCGCTCGCATCCCGCCTGCGCTTCCCACCATTCCCCCATGCATCGACCCACCGGCTTGGTTCGGTCCCAGGCCTCCTCCCGAACCTCCGCTCCCGCCAGGTCCGGCCATGCCTGCAGCAGCAGCGGCGGCAGCAGCAGCAGCTGCCGGGCCTGCATATGACCCTCCATGGGGCGAACCCATCATCATATGTGCCCCATGGCCCGATCCCCCTGCAAAGAAATATCCACCATGATGCGAACCCCCTGCTTGCATGCCTGCTGCCATGCCAGGAGCACCCATACCACCCATACCCATACCAGCAGCAGCTTGCATACCAGCCATAATCCCCCCATGCATTGACCCTCCCCCATGCATCGACCCCCCTGCCCCATGCATAGACCCCCCAACATGGGCCATGTGGGGGCCATGGGCAGAGCTACCCATGAGGATATAACCGCCCTGCACTGGCCCCCCTGGGAACGGCCCGTGATTTGATCCTGCTCCCGCTGCTGCAGCCAGTAGCGACGCGCCATGTGTCGACCCGCCTGCTCCCCCAAACGCATTTCCCCCATGCGCCGAACCTCCTGCGAACGCCATGCCTCCGTGAGCCGAACCTCCCGCGAACGCGTTCCCGCCGTGTGTCGAACCTCCCGCAAACGCCACCCCACCATGCCCCGAACCTCCCGCAAACGCCATTCCTCCGTGCGCCGAACCTCCCACGCCCATAAACGGGCCGTGCGCCGACCCTCCTGCAAAGTGCCCATGCGCCGAACCTCCAGCCATGGCAAGAGGTCCGTGCGCCGAACCTCCCGTGGCCAAAGGCCCGTGTGCCGAAACTCCAGGTCCGTGCGCCGAGCCTCCAACCATAGGGTCGAGCATAGAGGGGTGGCGATTCCCGGGCCAGGGAAGGGACTGGAAGGAGGTGGAGTTAAAGCCAAAGGAGGGAGCAGGGAGCATGGTGGAACCTCCTGGGACATGTGCTTGTTGCCCTGTCCCACCCCCTGCTGCCGCCGCTGCTGCTGCTGCTGCCGCTGCTAATGCTTGGTTAGAAAATGCTGGGGAATTTGACGACCCTCCGATCTGCGCCCCCGTGACTGCCTTGACCGCCGCCGCCGTCGCCAGCTCAGACGTGATGGCGTCCAATCGCAGCGCGCCAGCTGGCACCTGCACGGACTCGATGACGTCCTGCAGCTTCTGAATGCTCCGCGACACCTTGTTGATCTTGCGCGACGGCCACCTGGCAATTCCGTGCTGCCTGCAGATCCTTTTCAGTGTGGTGGGGCACACTGCATGGTTAGGGGAGTGGGGCAGGGGGAAGGGAGGGAGGGGAAGAAGAGGGCATATGGCAATGAGGAGAGGGATGAATGCTGCTGGGCGTGCACACAGGAGGCCGTCACCACTCGATCACGTCCTGCAGCTTCTGAATGCTCCATGAGACCTTGTTGATCTTGCGCGACGGCCACCGCGCTATGCCATGCTGCCGGCAAATGCGCTTCAGGAAGGTTGATTTTGAGAATTCTCAAAATCAATCTCAAACAAGGTGGGGCACAGCACACTGAATGGTTGGCAGAGGTGGGAGGAACACAGGAACGGGAAGGAGAAGGAGGAGGGAGAATGTGCTTGAGGGCGGTGGGACGTCCCACCGCCCAATGCTCTTCTCGAGTCACAACCCCATTCAAAGCACACACTACACACCCTACACCTCAACCCTCACTGCGTTGCAGAGCACGAGCACCGAGTCACACTGCACACCTCAACCCTCACTGCGTTGCAGAGCGCAAGCACCGAGTCACACTGCACACCTCAACCCTCACTGCGTTGCAGAGCACAAGCACCGAGACACACTGCACACCTCAACCCTCACTGCGTTGCAGAGCACAAGCACCGAGTCACACTGCACACCTCAACCCTCACTGCGTTGCAGAGCACAAGCACCGAGTCACACTGCACACCTCAACCCTCACTGCGTTGCAGAGCACAAGCACCGAGTCACACTGCACACCTCAACCCTCACTGCGTTGCAGAGCACAAGCACCGAGTCACACTGCACACCTCAACCCTCACTGCGTTGCAGAGCACAAGCACAGAGTCACACTGCACACCTCAACCCTCACTGCGTTGCAGAGCACAAGCACCGAGTCACACTGCACACCTCAACCCTCACTGCGTTGCAGAGCACAAGCACCGAGTCACACTGCACACCTCAACCCTCACTGCGTTGCAGAGCACAAGCACCGAGTCACACTGCACACCTCAACCCTCACTGCGTTGCAGAGCACAAGCACCGAGTCACACTGCACACCTCAGCCCCACGACTCACCTCCCAGCGCCTTGGCAGCGTCCTTGAGGCTCCCCGCGAAGTACTGCTGCAGCACGCCCAGACTGATGCTCTTCTCGTTCGTCCCCCCCCTCCGCTTCTCCCCCTTCTTCACCCCCCCCTTCGGCACCCCCTCCGCCCCTCCCGCCCTCTCCTCCCCCCCTCCTCCTCCCCCTGTCACATCCTCCTCTATCCGCATTCCCCCCTGCCTTTCCCCTTCCGGCCCACCTTCCGCCCCTCCTGAAGGCTGCCCCGAACTTTGCCCATCAGGAGTTCCCTCCAGCGCCCCTCCCCCCTCATCCAGGCTGTCACCACTCCTGTCTGACGTGGCAGGGACGCCTGATTGGCCAGCAGGTGCAGCTGCCGCCTCGTCACCGCCCAACACAGGGTCGGCAGGGGCGGCAGGGGCGGCAGGGCCGGTAGCAGCAGAGACCATGGGTGGAGGACCTGAGCTTTCACCTGAAAATGCGTCTTCAGGTAGACGTGGCATGGTCTGCATGCCCATGCTTGTGCCCATCCCACCTCCGTTGATGTTGATGCTGGCGCCACCACCCATGCCCGTTCCCATGTCCGTTCCCATGCCTGTTCCCATGCCCGTAAGTGTAGTTGGCGCTACTCCCATCTCCCCCTGCTGCTGCTGCTGCTGCTGCTGCTGTTCGGAGAAACCACATTCGGCCCAGGCATTGCCAATACCGCCACCACCATTACCCATATTCCCATCACCATTCCCCTTCCCCCCACCATTGCCCATGCCCGAACCATTCCCCACGCCCCCATTATCCCCCTCCTCCCCACACCCTAATCCATTCCCCCCAAGTCCCACCGGCACTCCTGCACCAGCCGCGGCAGAACTGTTCCCCAGTGGAAACGCCACGTCAGCTGTGCCATTGCCAGGTGGCGCACCGTGCACCAGTGGCGTGACTGCCCAGCCTTCACAGAGCTCTGCCATTGCTGCTGCTTCAAAGGGACTGCTCTCCCCCACTCCAGTTTCCCCCACTCCACTCTCCCGCATACCAGCACCCATGCCCTCACACACCCTCGCTTCTTCCCCCTCCCCTCGTTCCTCCACTCGCCTCCTCTTCACCTCCCTACCTCTTTTCTCTGGCGTCTCCCCCCCCTCCCTCGCTCCCTTCCCCCCCACACCCCTCACCACACTAACTCCCTCCGACACCCCTTCCCCTACCACCCCCTTCCCCTTCCCCCCCCCCCACGCTCCCCCTCTCATCTCCCCCCCGCCACCTCCCATCACCGACCCACCGGCCACCGAGCCTCCCGCCCCCGCACCTCCCGTCCCCGAGCCTGACCTTGTCCCTCGACTACCCCCACTCTTCCCAGACCTACTCCCGGACCTACTCCTCGCCATCTCCTCCACAGTAACCGTCCTGAGGCTCCGACACGCCTCCTGCATGCTCTGAGACAGCTGCGTCAACAACCGCTGCTGCTCCTCCTTCTCCCTACACCCCGGCGGGAGAAAAAACTCCAAAACGTAGTCCATGTTTTTACTCAGAACCGATCTTAACCGGATGGCAACAGCCGCTCGGAGCCCAAACATGCGCGCGTAGTGCACGAGAGGGTACTGCTCCTTGGTGAGAAGCTGCAGATCGTCGCAGAAAGCAGGGGCGTTGGAGGTCATAGCGCGGCCGGGGCAGCCCTGTGCGGCCTGCAGCTGGTGCTCGCAGCACGCCTGGCGGAACCCCCACATGCGGAGGTCTGCCACGCAGCTCGGCATGTCTGCTGTGAAGAGTGTCACTGCGTCCTCCTCGCCTTGCTCCTCCTCTCCCTGCTCCTCTCCTCCCTGCTGCTCCCCTCCCTGCTCCTCCTCCCCGTCTCCTCCTCCCACCCCTCCCCTCCCCCCTCCTCCTCCTCCGCTCCCCTCTCCCCCCACCGGAAACACTTCAAACACGTCTTGCTGTAAGCTCCCCACGTCCACTCCCTCCTTCCCCCACCCGGCCCCCTCTCGTCTCATTGTGAACCCCACCCCTACACTCCGCATGCTCGCCCCTACAGGCCCCGCGCACCCCCGAGCCGCAGGTTCGGCAGCGGCAGGTGCGGCGGGAGGTTCGGAGAGGCGGACCCAGGAGGAGGGGATCCAGGTCTGGGCGAGGGGCAGCGAGTGCTTGTCGCAGAGCGAGGAGAGCACCTCGTGTATCTCGGTTAACACTGCCCCCCGGCCCGGGAAGGGCATCTGAGAGGAAGAGTAGGCGGGTGGGTGAGGGAGAAGAGGGATGGAGAATTTGGGACACATTCTAGGAGCAGGGCAGGGGCAGCGAGTGCTTGTCGCAGAGCGAGGAGAGCACCTCGTGTATCTCGGTTAACACTGCCCCCCGGCCCGGGAAGGGCATCTGAGAGGAAGAGTAGGCGGGTGGGTGAGGGAGAAGAGGGATGGAGAATTTGGGACACATTCTAGGAGCAGGGCAGGGGCAGCGAGTGCTTGTCGCAGAGCGAGGAGAGCACCTCGTGTATCTCGGTTAAGACGGCTCCCCGGCCCGGGAAGGGCATCTGAGAGGGAGGGGAGGAGGCAGAGAAGTGGGACGACGAATGTGAGACCAGTAGGGGCGGGGCAGAGAGTGCTTGTTGCAAAGCGAGGAGAAAACCTCGTGTCGTGTATCTCGGTTAAGACTGCCCCCCGGCCAGGAAAGGGCATCTGAGAGGGAGAGAAGGGGAGTGGGAGCGGGAGGGGTGGGTGGGAGGGAGGAACAACGGCGGTGAGCAAGTAGGGAAAAGCAAAGAGCAAGACACGGCTGGGAGCTAGTGTTGTTCTCAGAGCGAGGTATTCTGTATCTTTCATTTACACTGAAGAGCACTTTATGAAGGGAGAGAAAGTGGCAGTGATACGAAGTGTGAGTGAGGGGTCCGTTTGAAAAAACACAAGATGTGGATTTGCAGTCAAGAAACATAACATGATCATTCGCAGTTGGAAACACAAGATGCCCATTTGCTGTCAGAAACATATAATGTGCAAATGCCGTCCAAAACACACACTCACCTCTGCTGGAAGATGGTCCCATGCACGAATGCTGGTCAGGTCCACCGTCTGTGGAGTGCGGAGGGGTGGAGTGGGGTGGGGTAGGGCGGGATCCCATAAATGAGCGCGGAGTGGGGATACAGCAACGCATATGGAGTGGCGTGCAGGGAGGTGGAGAGTGGTGCGAGGGATTTATAGTGTGAGTCCACCGATTTGCAGTGGCGTGAACCACTGCCTAGGGGCAGGGGAAATACAATGTGCCTACAGCAGCAGCGAATGGAACTAAACAAGGGTTGAGGGATGTGCTACAACCTCCCTGCACCCCTCTGCAACACCCCAGATTCCCGCTCATCCTCATCCATCCCTCCCTCTGCACCGCACCCCACCCTAACTCTCACCTGCAGCGCGTTGCACACGGCATCAATCTGTGGCCCGAACCGCACATCCTCCCCCATCATCACCAGCTCCACCACCGCTCCCTGTTGTTTGCACGATCCAAACCACATGCACCACTCTGCACCGCATTGCACCATCCTCAATCTCACCTGCAGTGCGTTGCACACGGCATCGATCTGTGGCCCAAATCGCACGTCCTCACCCATCATCACCATCTCCACCACCGCCACTAGCTCCTGCCTCCTCCTCCCCCTCATTCCCCCCCCTCCGCTTCCCCCTCCCCCTCCCCCCTCCCCCTCCCCCTCCCCGTCCCCCTCCTTTCACCACCATCATCTTCCCCCCACTCTCCCCTTCATCCCCCTCCCCCTCCCCCTCCCGCTCCCCTCCCGCCTCCCACTCCCACCCGCCTTTGCTACTCCCGCTGCTGCCCGTCCCCCAGCTCTCCCCGCCCCCCTCCCCGCCTCCACCACTCCCCTTCCCCTTTCCCTTTCCCCCGCTCCCCAGCACCCTGAAAATCGGCACGGCGAGAGCCCCGCGCACGTTGCAGCGAGTGGCGTGGGCCACTCGGAGGTACTCGTCCCGCGAGTAGTACTGCACGTTGGGCGTCCACTCGGGGCGACCTGATACGAAGACGCGCCCTGGTAGGCCCAGGTACCCGCTGCCAGACAAGGGGAATGTGTAGCTGGGCGGGTTCAATGGGGGTTGGTTGGAGGGGGGGAGGGTGGAGGGGAGGAGAGGAGGGGAAAGGGAGTCAGGCGTGCGCCACGCGGAGGTACTCGTCCCGCGAGTAGTACTGCACGTTGGGCGTCCACTCAGGTCGACCTGACACAAACACCCGGCCTGGTAGGCCTAGATAACCGCTGCCCGACAAGGGAAAGGTATAACTGGGAAGGGGTGGGGAGGAGTCAGTGAGGGAAAGAAGGAAATGCAGGCGTGTGGGCGAAAGCAAGGTACTCGTCCCGCGAGTAGTACTGCACGTTGGGCGTCCACTCGGGGCGACCCGACACAAACACACGGCCCGGTAAGCCCAGGTACCCGCTTCCAGACAAGGGGAATGTGTAGCTGGGGAGTTTGTTGGGGGATCGGGGAGAGCAGAACAAGGGGAAAGCGGGGATGGCGGGGGGCGGGGGGGAGTCAGGTGTGGCGTGCGCCAGTCGGAGGTACTCATTCTGCGAGTAGCACTGCACACCGGGCGTCCTCTCGGGATGGGGGGGGGGGGGGGAGAGAGTATCAGGTGTGGCGTGCGCCACTCGGTGGTACTCATCTCATCCTGCGAGTAGTACTGCACTGCACACCGGGCGTCCTCTCGGGCCTACCGGACACAAAGACCCGGCTTGGCCCGGAAGGCCCAGATACCCCCCACCGAACAAGGGGAATGTGTAGCTGGGGGGGAAAGGGTGGGGTGGGATGGAGGGGGGGGAAGGGGGGGAGGAAAAGGAAGAAAAGAAGGCGTGAGAGACTGTAAGATGGTAAGAAGGATCCGAGCACTCACTGGTGGAGATGGTGCGGTAGATGCGAGGCTTCTCAAAGGCATCTGTGAAAAGCATTCCCTCTTCTCGGCCCCACCACACCCCCACCCCCCCTCCTTTGCGGCTCACTTGGTGGAGATGGTGCGGTAGACGCGCAGCTTCTCGCTGCCCTCCATGAGCACACACGGCTGCTCGCGCGTGCTCAGCTCAGCACCCTCAACACATCCCCTCCCCTCAGCCCCTCCCTTCCTTTCTCCCTCCCCACCCTCTACTCCTCCCCCCTCACTCACTTGGTGGAGATGGTGCGGTAGACGCGCAGCTTCTCGCTGCCCTCCATGAGCACAAACGGCTGCTCGCGCGTGCTCAGCACACGCTGACCCTCGTGCCACGTGGGGAACCACACTTGCGCCAGCAGGTCACCGCGCGACTGTGGTGTTAGGGTTGGGGGGATTGAGGTGGTGACGGGAGAGAAATTGAGAATGAGCGTGGGGAGGGGGGAGAAGGAGAGTGCCACGTGGGGAACCACACCTGCGCCAGCAGATCCCCGCGCGACTGGGGTGTTGGAGGGGGGAATGGGGGACGGGGGAAGGGAAATGGGAATGATTAGTGAGAAAGGGGAGTGGAAGGAAAGTGCACGTGGCACTCTCTTTATCTCCCCCAAGGCACAATCTCCCGCCCATTACCCCACCCCCGCCTGCTTTCCCCCAAACCACCAGCTCTTTCCCCCACTGCGCACACACCTGACAGAGGCTTCTCAGCGCCTTCTCTATCCGCACCCGCAGCCCCGGAACCCTCTCCGCGCGCCCGCTTCCCGCCACCTGCAGCACATTCCTCGGCGGCGCGCACACCAGCTGCCCCGCGCCTCCTCTCCCGCCCGCGCCCCTTCCCCCTCCCCATCCCCCCCCCCCCGCTCCCCACGCCCCTGACCAGCACCCCAGCCTTGGAATCCTCCTGCTGCTCGTTCCCCTCCTGCCCGTCCGCGAGCGACCCCGCGCAGCTGAGCGGGTGGGGCGAGGAGAACATGGATAACAGCGAGACGAAGTTGGGGGAATCGGGGCACATGAGCGCGGAACCCGCGGGGCCCATGAGCGCGGAACCAGCGGGGCCCATAAGCGCGGAACCCGCGGGGGCCATGAGCGCGGAGCTGCTAGGTCCGCCGGTGATGAACAGGTCGCCGTTAGGCTGCGTGGAAAATGTGGAAATCCCCAGAATATCCGCCTCTCCTGCTGCTGCCCCTGACGCCGGCCCCGCTGAACCTATTGTTCCTGCTTCTCCTGCTGCGCCTCCTCCTGCTGCACCTGCTGCTCCTCCCACTGCTGCTCCTGCTATGGCTGTAGCTGCTGCTATAGCTGTAGCTGAAGCTAATGCTCCTCCTGCTGCTGTGGGTCCTGCGGAAGGAGACAAGACGTCAACGGAGGTCAAGGGGACAGAGCTACTGGTCTCTGCGAGGGAGGGCGGCTGTGGCTGAAGGTATGTGGACCCTGGAATGGAGTCTGACAGGAACGCTTGCTGCTGCTGCTGCTGCTGCTGCTGCTGCTGCTGTTGCTGCTGTTTCTCAGACTGTTGCGCGGGCTGCCGCTGTGTGTGCTGCGCCTTGTCTTCCGAATTCTGACGACGCTGCATCAGCTGCTGCTGCTGCTGCCGCTGATGTGCCTCCAGTGAATGCTTCTCCTGCTTCAGACGCTGCAAGGGCGACGCTGATCTCTGCTTCTGCCGCTGGCTCGTCGCGTTCTGCGCAACCCACATGCCGTCTGTCGCAGCAGCAGCGGTGGCGGCGGTGGCAGCAGCAGCAGCCACTGCCGCTGCGAGTAACCCGCCGTTGCTCGCCTCCTGACCGAGCTGCACCGCTGCTGAAGCTGCTGTTCCTAAAGCAGCAGAGGCGGGTGCTGCTGCTCCTAACGAGTGCTGGGACTGACGTAGCAACTCCAGCTGCTGTTGTTGTTGCAGCTGGTGCTGCTGGAAGAGCGAATCCTGATACTGAGTCGCCGCAGCTTGCTGCTCCTGCTGGTGCTGTTGCTGCTGCTGCTGCTGCTGTCGCTCCATGAGCATCTGCAATAGAGCCATGTTGTGCTGCTGCTGATGCTGCTGCTGCTGTTGATGCTGCTGCTGCTGAAGCGCTAAAAGCCGGGATTCCTCATCTAACTGCCGCTGCATCTGCAATTCGCGGAGGAAATTCTGCGGAGCGGAGGATGCTAATACCGACGAGGCTACTAAGGCGCGCGACTGGATCTGGTGGAGCTGCGCTAATTGACCTAATTGCATCGCCTGATCGTGACCTAATTGCGACAGCAGCGCCTGCTCCTGAAGCTGCGATTGCAGTTGTTGCTGCTGCTGCTGCTGCTGCTGCTGCTGTTGTAGCGGCTGCTCGAGCCATGACTGCGGTGTCAGAGGAAAAGCATCGGGACGCGGGAGAGTGGTAGTTTGGGGAAGGGACTGGCCGGCAATAGGAGGTGCTAATGGATGCCGAATTGTCGCGCCGAAAAAATCCATAGCGAGGATAACGGTAGTACTGATTGATAACTAGATCGAGTCGCGAGCGAGCTCGGCTGGAGAGCCACACGCTAGGCACGGAACACGGATGAGTTTTGGTCCACGGGAGGTGGGGTGAGGTGGGGTGAGGTGATCCGTCACTCTGGGGTAGGAAACAGGTTCGATTCGATCACGTCGCTTCTGCAGCGCAGGAGACGAGGGTGAGGAACAGAGAGGTGAAACGAACTACCCAGCCATCAGCAAAAAGCAGATGAAGCTCTCGAGTGACGTTCGCACGAGAGCGAGAAACTAGTGGTGGTAGAAGAGCTGACCAATCAGTCGCATCGCAGTTCTCAAAGTGAACAGCAGCAGCAGCATCCCATCACTCAAACCCTAACCGAAAGAACGCCTCATCGGCCACACAAGTTGGCTTTTCGAAGAGCGAGGAGAAGCAGGAACAAACTATCCTCGATATCTGCTGCTTCATCTCGAAACAAGTACGAATAACCAGCCTGGCATATCAACGATTCGCGTGGGCAACTTTCTGCCACCCCTGCCTTGCCCAGCATCAAGGCCAGGTGGCAGTGGGGGACCACTCGGCCAGCCAGTCATACCTCGTGGTTTGGAAGCGTAGCGAATGGAAGTGGCTGAAAGAGCTGGCGCGGCGCGAAATTTGACCAATGGGTGAGTACGACTGTACGAGTCTTGGTTTTGCCGTGTCAAATCAGCTACAGTAAAGCATCCTTCACAGCATCGGAACACCAACCTCGGAATCTGCTGCAGTGTTTACATCCATGGCATACCCTCTACATAGGGCAACTCCACAACACTCTTTCGATAACCTCCTACATTGATCAACCATATCCACCTCACAGCCGCTTAATATGGATGCTTTTTTTCACAAATCAGCCAAAATTATGTCAGAAATATGAGGCATAATCTCCAACCCGTCCCTTGATAGATCTTGCACAGCTAGAAGCTATGACCTGATAGAATCATCAACATGTAAAATAGCTATTACTGGATAAAATGATGCAAGGAGGTTGTAAATGATTCTGATACAGTACAAATCAGAATACAAATGGAATGCTAACTTGTACTAGCTTAGCAGCTACATTATTTCCGAACATTGCAAACATGGAACATATCCGCGTTTAGATGCGCGTGAAATAGGTCAGGAGTGGTTGAGCACTCACAGCTTTAGCAATTAGAAACCTTGCACTTCCAGTCTCGCGTCTTCAGTAGTTATTCGTAGCTAGACGGTCTGATAGTTCGATTGTGTTATTCTGACGTCCTTTTAAGTCAGCTGAGATGGCCGAATGGGTCTGCCGGCGCGGCTGGCCGGCATTAGGTTTAGCAGCATTGCTCTGTCTCGGCGCTCTGACGAGATGCTCGGTCGCTGCAGACGATGATGAGGAGGAAACCATTTCCGGGAAAACGGGAAACTATCTGTCAGGTCAGTGCACGATGTTTCCTTAGCATTTCGGTCAACGATGTCAGCGCACGAAACGGCTCCTTTTCCAGCCGGTGTAGACTCCGGAAAGCCCGCTGCTTGTGTCCACGAGGTTGGTACTGATGGGTAGCATTCGCAATCGGCATTATCGAGGTCGATTCATTATTCCATCAGTAGGGCTGTTTGAGTCGTGGCAAATGCAATGTCGATCTCTGCTGATGTCAGCCGAGCGTCAGCCGACCACTAGAGTCTTCCTTCCACGTGGCAAAGCTTCCGCGTGACAAAGCTTCCGTCGTCACTGTTTTCAACCGTCATCATTAGCAGTACCATTATCACCTTCGGAGCCCGAGAACCGAACCTTATGCATGTCACGCCGAGCCACTCGCCGAAGCACACGCCGAGCCACACGCCGCGTCACTCGCAGAGTCACACGCGACCGAAAAAAACCTACTTTCTCTAATTTATTCCCAACTGCCGTGCCTCCCCTTTCTACCCCATTCCCTATTCTCCCACTCTGCGCCAATCAGACGCTGCCAAGTGGACATGGCCAGTGGTCAACGAGCCGGGAACGGAAGCGTCAGTGTACAAGGTCCTCTCCTCGTACGTCTCTTTCCCTCCCTCCTTCCGTTGCGTTGCTCATGAGTAATTGTTCGGTTTCGTTTCTCCTTACGTTCGTTCGCTTTGTCGTGGGCGAAACAAGCCACATGTGTGAAGGTTTTGACGTTAAAGCTGAGTCGTCGTGAACGTTCCACCTGGAAAGGCACCTGACGGACACTGTCTCCCCCACTCTCCCCCCCCTTCCCCTGCCTCCCATTCGCCTCCTTCCCCCAACCACCCCTCCTCTCCCTTATTTCCCGCAGCTGGTGCGGCAACGCTTATGAGGAGATGGTGAACCGTGTGGAGCGTAAGGCAAGGGATCCATCAAGAGCCTCTAGTGATTCACTTGGTCCCACCCTCTTTCTTCCCCTCTCTCTCTCATTGATGCAGTTGGTGCGGCAACGCGTACGAGGAGATGGTGAAGGATGCGGAGCGCAAGGCGAGGGATGACTGCAACACCACCACACTCACCCCGCCTCCCCCCTCCTCCCCTCAATCTACGCTCCCTCCCCCTTCCCTTCCCGCAGTTGGTGCGGCAACGCATACGAGGAGATGGTAAAAGATGCGGAGCGCAAGGTGAGGGATAGCTTGACTATCACCAACACCCGTCCCCGGTCTCCCTCCCCTCCCCACACACTCCCACAGCTGGTGCGGCAACGCGTACGAGGAGATGGTGAAGGACGCGGAGCGCAAGGCGAGATGACTTGACCACCACTACTCCCCCCACATTCTCATTCAACCCCCTGTTCTCCCGCCCCCCCTTACAGCTGGTGTGGCAACGCGTACGAGGAGATGGTGAAGGACGCGGAGCGCAAGGCGAGATGACTTGACCACCACTACTCCCCCCACATTCTCATTCAACCCCCCGTTCTCCCCCCCCCCCTTACAGCTGGTGTGGCAACGCGTACGAGGAGATGGTGAAGGATGCGGAGCGCAAGGCGAGGGACCACGAGCGGCTGAAGCTGGAGCGGGACCAGCGGTTCCAGGAGTGGATGCAGTGCCGCCAGGAGAAGTTCATCAAAGAGAAGGTGGGCTTTAATGGGGTGGGCTTCAATGGATTAGGTTGGCTATAAAGGACAAGGAGGACTGCTGGTTTTTGCACTGCTTGGTTTGTATCGCGCTGTGGAAGCACGAATGAAGGGACCAGTGGTTTGGCGAGTGGGTGCAGTGCCGCCAGGAGAAGTTCATTAACGAGAAGGTGGGCTTTAATCGAGAAGGCGAGCGGAGAAGGTTGGGTGTTCTTTTGCCAGCGGCGCTGCTCTGCAATTCTCTTAACCCGATTTCCATGCTCAAGTTACTCGCTTGTTCTGTGCACAGTGCTCCACCCCTCGCGCCCACCACGACCAGGAGCTAGAGGCGGAGTGTGACAAGGAGCGCAAGCTGCAGGCGAGCTCTCTGAGACGTCTCAGCATGGACATTCATCCCCTCTGTGCTTTCCACCGCGTTCCACCTCATTCCACCGCATTCCAGGAGCTAGAGGCGGAGTGTGAGAAGGTGCGCAAGCTGCAGGGGTCGGAGTTTGACAGAGAGAGGCTGGTGATGCGCGCCGAGTGCGACATGGAGCTCACTCTGCTGCGCGCCGAGCTGGACGCCTGTGAGATCAAGGTGCGATGAGTCACTCAGGATGCAAAAAGGTGAGATTGGGGCAAGGAGAGAGAGGGAGAGGCTGGTGATGCGTGCTGAGTGCGACATGGAGCTCACTCTGCTGCGCGCCGAGCTGGACGCCTGTGAGATCAAGGTGCATGCGTTGAGATGGGATGGGAATAAGGCGCGGACACTCAGAATAGGGTGAGGAGAGATTGGGGTCAGGGAGAGGGAGAGAGAGGCTGAAAATGCGCAACGTGGAGCTGCTGAGCTGACCCCGCTGTGCGCGGAGCTGGACGCCTGTGACGATTTTTTAGGCGCCTCAATAATTGAGCTGAGCCCGCTGTGTGCCGAGCTGGACGCCTGTGATGTGATCTCAGCGGGCTCTGTGCGACCTGGTTCTGTGATCTTGCGAAGAGCGGCCTGGAGGCCAATACCACAGCGCGCCGGCACCGCACGCCGGCACCGCACGCAGGTCACCAGCCTCACGCGCCTGGCGGGGCTAGAGGCCACCCCCCCAGGCACCCAAGTCATGGCGTGTTGCCATGTCACCGCACCCACGTCACCTCTAACGCCTCCTCTCCCCATCTCTACTCTGCTCCCTTATCCTCTCTTCGCCTACTTCTGTTGAGCAACAAGGGACGGGCAGTGTGTGTGTGAAAGAGAGGTGGTCGTAGAGAGAGCGCTGTGCCAACAACACCACGGCCTGCGGGCATCGCACGCAGGTCACCAACCTCACCCGCCTGGCTGAGCTAGAGGACACGGCGGTGCGTGTCGACACTGACTGCACCCAACTCACCTCTAACACCTCCTCTTCCCTTCCCCAACTCCCCCTGATCGCCGTCCCCTCTCGTATTCTCTCTCCGACTACTCCAGTTGAGCAACAAGGAGCGGGCTGTGTGCGGGAGGGAGGTGGTGGTGGAACGGGCTTTATGTGACCATGCCAAGCGCGGCCTCGAGGCCAACAAAACGGCCTGCCAGCACCGCACGCAGGTCACCAACCTCACCCGCCTGGCTGAGCTGGAGGACACAGCAGAGCGGGACTACACCCAGGCACTTCTACCCCTCTCAAAACTCGCCGCTCCACCTCCCCTCCTCACCTCCCGTCCCTTCCCACCTACCCCAGTTGAGCAACAAGGAACGGGCAGTATGCGAACGAGAAGTGGTCGTAGAGCGGGCCCTCTGCGACCATGCAAAGAGGGGCCTGGAGGCCAACACCACGGCCTGCCAGCATCGCACGCAGGTCACCAACCTCACCCGCCTCGCGGAGCTAGAAGACACGGCGGACCGGGCGGCGAAGGACCACGGGGAGTGGGCGGCGGAGAGGGAGCGGCTGCGCAAGGAGCTCAAGGCGTGCCGCCCGGCGCGAGCGCATGCAGAGGCGCGGCTGAGGGAGGTGCTGGCAGATGGGACGATTGATTCTCTGGAGCACACTGTTGTGTGGCTGCAGGTACGGGGTGGACTCTGGCTGCAGGTACGGGGTGGACTCACCAGTGGGAGGATCCTCGAGGGAAGTGGAGGGCTCTTTTTTTGTTGCTCAGGGAGGTGCTGGCGGATGGGACGATCGACTCGCTGGAGCACACTGTCGTGTGGCTGCAGGTTAGTTGAGGAAGGGCGGAGGGAAAAGGGAAGGGGGAAGAGGGGGGGGGGAGATTATCTTCTTGCTGCTCCGGGTGGCTGCAGGTAGATGAGAGCTCTTTTCGGGGTGGCCTTATCTTCTCCCTGCCGCCAGTTGAGACGATCGACTCACTGGAAAACACTGTGATGTGGCTGCGCTGCGGGTTGGTGGGGGGGGGGGGGGCTCACCTCACCTACCTTTCTTTGCTGCCCCTACCAGGTGGCTACATCAAACACCTCTCCCCCACCTCTCTGCCACCTCCCCCACGACCTTTACGTGAGCGCAGGTGCTACTGGGGGTGCAGGCGCTGGTGCTGCTCGTCATGCTCTCCTTCCTCTTCTTCCTGCTGCTCCACGGTACGCGTGCTCTTCTACCCACCTAAGCAACCACTCTGCATGCATGGGATGGTATTTGAGGCTATGCCATGCCATGCCATGCCATGCCATGCCACTGAAGTATATCCCTCACTTCCTCTCCGTCATGCTTTGGCGATCTCCCCACCCGCCCCCCCTCCCTCCCCTTTCCTCGTTCTTCTCTATCCTCATCACCTCACTCCCCGGCCTGGTGCCAGAAGAGGTGGCATGGTCTTACTCCTTCACCCATGCACATTCACTCTCCCAACTCCTTCCACAGAGGAGAATCCCACGGGAGGGGGCGCGTAGGGCTGGGTGGCAGTGCAGGGAGCGTCCAAGATGCGCCTGGTGCCAGCAGAGGTGGCCAGGGAGACTGCATTCCACCCACCCCACTTTTGTCCTGCTCATCCCCTCACCCTCTGCCCCACTCCGCTCCCTCACTCCCCTAACCTTCCACAGAGGAGAACCCCACGGGAGGGGGCGCGTACGGCTGGGTGGCGGTGCAGGGAGCGTCCAAGATGCGCCTGGTGCCAGCAGAGGTGGCGAAAGAAACACTCATGAAGGCGTTTGAGGGGCGCAGGAGGACTCGTCTGCCCATCGTGCTCACCACTGCAGCCAACTACGAGCCTGACTGTAAGTGGTTGTGATGGTAACCCACATTGTAACACGCCTGTTGAGGGTCCTCCTCAGAAGGTGCGCCTGGTGCCGGCAGAGGTGGCGAGAGAGACACTGATGAAGGCGTTTGAGGGTCGCAGCCGCACGCGCCTGCCCATTGACTTTTGAGTCGACTCAAAAGTCACTTCTTTTGAGTCGAATCAAAAGAGAGAGACACTGATGAAGGCGTTTGAGGGTCGCAGCCGCACGCGCCTGCCCATCGTGCTCACCACTGCAGCTAACTACGAGCCGGATTGTAAGTCTAGTAGCTGATAACTGCAAGAGCAGTCCCTCATGTACTTGCCGTTGCTTACTACTAATTGAATCGTGACGTGCCTGCCCCCTTGTTTCTTCCCTTCTCTCTCCCCAATCCCTCTCATGTCCTGTCCTCCTCTCTTCCCCCACTCTCTTTTCCTTCTCTCTCCCTCCCACCTTCCCACCTCAACCCCTCTCTCATCTCGTTTCCTCCTCTCTGCTTCCTTACGCCCATATCCCGTGTGTCCAGCTGGCAGCCCCACATTGGTCTTCCTTCTGGCGCCTGTCAACGTTGCGAGCTCTCGGCGCTTCTCGCTGTTCAACCACTCTGGCGATTATGTGACGCATGCTGAGAGGGCGCAGGAGATTGGTGCGTGCTTGTGTGCATGTGTGTGAGTGTTTGTGTGGGGTATATGTATGTGTGCTCTGCACTGTGCTCCCGGCACTTCTCCCTGTTCAACCACTCGGGCGACTATGTGACGCATGCAGAGAGGGTGCAGGAGATAGGTGCGTGGGTGTGGGTGTGTGAGTGCATGTTTGGATATATCTGCGTGCAGATCCATCTATGTTTGCGTGCAGATCCATCTATGTTTGCGTGCGTGTCTATGGGTGTGTGTATTGGTGGGTCTATGCATGTGTGCTCTTGGCGCCGCTTCTCCCTGTTCAATCATGCGATCGACTATGTGACGCACGCACAGCGGGCGCAGGAGATAGGTATGTGCACATGTGTGCATGTGGTTGTGTCTGTGTGTGTAGGAGGGGGAGGGTATATGTATGTGTGCGAAGCACTGTGCTCCCGGCGCTTCCCCCTGTTCAACCGCTCCGGCGATATGTGACACACGCGGAGGAGAGGGCACAGGAAACTGGTGCATGCTTGCTTGTGAGCCCGTGCGTGCATGCGTGCATCCATCCATGCGTCTGGGTCTGTGTATGAGCACGTGTGTGATGTATGGCTGTGTTCATGTCTGAATTGCAATTTGAGGCGCCCGGAAGATGTATGGATGCCTTCCATCCACCACCTTTCCCGCTCACCCTTCTTCTTCCACCACCTTTCCCGCTCACCCTTCTTCTTCCACCACCTTTCCCGCTCACCCTTCTTCTTCCACCTCCTTTCCCGCTCACCCTTCTTCTTCCACCACCTTTCCCGCTCACCCTTCTTCTTCCACCACCTTTCCCGCTCACCCTTCTTCTTCCACCTCCTTTCCCGCTCACCCTTCTTCTTCCACCACCTTTCCCGCTCACCCTTCTTCTTCCACCTCCTTTCCCGCTCACCCTTCTTCTTCCACCTCCTTTCCCGCTCACCCTTCTTCTTCCACCACCTTTCCCGCTCACCCTTCTTCTTCCACCTCCTTTCCCGCTCACCCTTCTTCTTCCACCTCCTTTCCCGCTCACCCTTCTTCTTCCACCTCCTTTCCCGCTCACCCTTCTTCTTCCACCTCCTTTCCCGCTCACCCTTCTTCTTCCACCTCCTTTCCCGCTCACCCTTCTTCTTCCACCACCTGCCCCATCTCCTTCCCCCCCGCAGTGGCCAAGGCCCTGCCCAAGTCGCGACTGGTGGTGGTGCTCTATGAGGGGTGCGGGGGGCTCTTCACAGAGGCCACACTGGATTCCCTGCGACTCAAACCGGACAAGGCAAGTTGCGGGCTAAGGTTAAGGGTTGAATGTTGATGCTCGCTGGGCTGTGGTGCCGTTTGGTTTAGGGTTTACCTTGTCAGGGCTGTGGGGGCGCTGTTCACAGTTTCCAAGCTACATGACGCATTGCATTCTCTCATTCAGCATGGCAGGCCGTTCTTCAACCGTTCATTATTTTCCTTACTTAAAATGCCTGTCTTCATTCTCATGCCTCCACACAGGTAGCATACGAGGTGATCCCCAAGGATATGGATTTCCCCAAGAGCCACAACCTGGTGGTGCCGTGGGTGGATAAGACGGATGGTGTGCGGTTACCATGTTTGTCGCAGCAGGCTTTTTCTGATTCTCAATGCTGCTCTTTACTCCCTTGTCCCAACAGGTGGCATACGAGGTGATTCCCAAGGACATGGATTTCCCCAAGAGCCACAACCTGGTGGTGCCGTGGGTGGATAAGACGGATGGTGTGAAGACAACTGACAGTGAGAGGGAGAGCGATCTGTCGTCGGTGATTCGCGCGCAGCCGTGGGCGCAGTACCTGCTGGGGCGGAGTGGGAGGATAGGGCAGGTTCACAGCCAGCTGCTGTAGATGGATGGTATGCTGGAGGGTTTAGGTCTTTTTCTTCAGAATTCTCAGGGGCGCAGTAGCTGCTAGGGGGCGGAGCAGGAGGATAGGGCAAGTGCACAGCCAGCTGCTGTGAGCGTGATTTTCGATGGGATGTTTTGTTTCCTGACTCGGGTTGAGGACAAGTGACAGCGAAAGGGAGAGGGAATTGTGATTTGAGTGCAGCCGTGGGCACAGTGCTTGCTGGGGAGGAGCGGGAGGATGGGGCAGGTGCACAGCTAGCTGCTGTAGATGGATGGAGTGCGGGTGTGTGTCTATCTATTTTTCTTTCATGTTGATTCAGTTTAGCCAGTTTTGTTCATGTTTACCAGCAGAAGACCTGTTAGCAATGTCAAGAGATATATATGTGCAAGCTATGTGAGTTCGACAGCTGTAAATCGCGTACGCGTCACCGTTGCAGAGCGTTCTCCGACCAGCCACGTCAATCCCAGAACCGCCTTGAGAATGACGGAGAAATGTTCGCATCGCACCCCACCCTGTCGTCCCTTGGGATTCACGAATTCGCATCGCACCTCGATCAGCCCAAGACCTCATCTGGATTGGAGGTCAGCACGAGGAAATGACGTATGTCATACCGATAGGTTCGTCGATAGGACGTACTTCTACGGGTTCTTTCTTGCAACGGGGGGTCCCAGGAAAATGGTTTCATTCTCGTCGTTGTAATCACTTGTGTTCGGCCTCGCGTCTCCCCGTCCTCGTTTTTCCGCGACTCCGACGCTGCTCATGGCTGCTACCAGCACTTCCCTTCTCGCCTTTTCTCGTCCTCTCATGCATATTTCGCCCCCCGCGAGTTCTGTCACCATTCACTCTCCAATAGCCTCTGGAAGCTACCCCACGCCGACCGTTTCTCGCTGTAGTACCTTTCCGGCTCGCTTAGTGTCTGGTCTAGCTAGTCAGCGCTGTCTGAGACTCGTCAGCGCTGTTTCGTCCAGCTCAATTTCTGTGCGTCACCAGCCCCCCCTCAACGGCTCTCCAGCGCCCTTGCGCCACGTGTCGAGTTCATCGCAGCGCACATCCGTCACTTGCGCTGCCGCTGCTGCTGATGCAGCTGCCGGTGCTGCCGCTAAGGGTGGGAGCGAGGGAGAAAAAGGAGCGATGACGGACCGCGGGAATGATAAGGACGTTGCAATTGACGATGACATCATTATGGCTCCTGATGCGCGATTGGCTCCAGAGGCACGAATCCATCCCCAGAACGGAAAAATATAAACTCCACTGATATAAAATCGTTGCGATTTTTGCATTAAATTTCGACTCGGATTCACCATGCACTCAACACATAGTAAAATTTCACCGTATATCTCACGACAGACGCGGAGCCACTTACTATTGCCAACGGAGATTGATCTCACCTTTCACAAAATTCTTCTTCACACGTTGCAGATTCACCTGGCAGGAACAGATTCATCTTACACTCACTCAATCCCTATTCCCCTCTCCGCCCCCCCTGTCTCTTCCCCTCACACTACCCCAGCTCGCATACATCCTCCCCCCTCCCCTTGAGAACCAACCCACACCAGGTACCACCTCCCCCTCTCCCTCCTCCCGTCCTTACCTCCTCCTCGTCGCCCCCGGCGGTTTCATCCCCGCTCTCTCCTACCTCCCGCTCATCCGCGCTATAAGATCCGCCGTTCCCCTACCCCTGCGCAAGCGCCTGTGGGTGGCCGTACTGAAGGAAATTACCGTTTTGGACCCGGAGAAAGGGAAGGCGTGGGCGAGGGACGGGTATGATGCGGTGGTGAGAGTGGTCAAGGAGATGGGCGCGGATGTGACGAATAAGGGCGGCACATCACGGGTGTTTGTGGTTGGACACAGGTGCGTGCGTTGTGGGAAGGGGCTTGAAGGTGAAGGGGGATGGGGGGGGAGATGCTGGTCGGCAAGGGTACGAGGTGCAGTGGTGATAGCGGTAAGGAGATGGGTGGTGCGGATGTGAGCCGTGGAGGAGTGGGCACTCCGCGGGTGTTTGTGCTGGGACACAGGTCAGTTGACTTGACTTGTATGTTGAGTCCTGAGTTGACTTTCCCGTTGACTTTTCAGTTGCCTCCCTCCCCCACACCCCCGACCAGCATCGGAGCCTTCCTCATGACAGCAGTGGTGCGAGAGGCATGCCTGGCCCTCATTCCGCAACAGTGCCTCACACACTCATCAAGAAACCACTCTCTCTCTCCTTCCTCTCCCCTTCTCTCTCCCATAACCCTCCCCTCTCCCACTCACCCCTTACCAGCATCGGAGCATTCCTCATGACAGCAGTGGTGCGAGAGGCGCGCGTGACACTCATCAGCATCGGCGTCACACACACTGCTCAAAGAAACCACTCTCTCTCTCTCTCCTTCTCCTTGCGCCCTCAACCCTAACCCCCACCAGCATCGGAGCCTTTCTCATGACAGCAGTGGTGCGAGAGGCGTGCCTGGCTCTCATCAGCATCGGCGTCTCATACAGTGCTCAAGAAACCACACTCTCTCTCCTTCTCCTTCCGCTCTCAACCCTAACCCCGACCAGCATCGGAGCCTTTCTCATGACAGCAGTGGTGCGAGAGAAATGTCTGGGACTCATCAGCATTGGAGCCTCACACAACACCCTCGAGACCTCTTTCCTGCAATTCCCACGGCCCACGCTCACCATCCTCGGAGACAGGGACGGCCAGGCTCCCCCCATTGCCATGGCACTAGCAGTCAAGGAGCTAGACCCTGGATCCTCAGGTGCTTCTTCAGGTGAAATTTGAAGTGATTCTTCAGGTGGTTCTGCTGTTGCTGCTGCTGCACCTGGCAGCGCAACAGCAGCAGCGCTGGGTCCACTGCTGTCCATAGTGCAAAAGCCGTTTGTGATTATAAAGGGGATGAATCACGCGCAGGGGGGGAACGGGGTGGTGAACCGAGAGAGGGGCGACCTGGATGCGACTCGGCCAATCAAGGAGGTGCGGGAGGAGATTGGGCGGCTGGTTTCAACGTTTATGCTGCTGCATCTGCACTCGGACAATGGCTGGGCTTCGTTGCTACTGGCCGGCAGGGAGGGGGTGAGTGGAGGGGAGGGAGGGGAGGGAGGCGAGGAGGAGCATGTGGATGAGGCACAGGAGAGAGCAATGAAGGTGCTGCAAGGGGCAGTGGAGTGGTCGTTGGAGTATCTGCGACCAGTGTGGAAGGCCCTGGACATGGAGAGAGAGGAGCCTCACCACGTGCTGGTCAGTCCGCCCCTTGCCTCTCCTTTTCCAACTTTTTTCTCTCTGTAAAGTCGATTATGCTTGCTTGCGCAGGTTCCCCTCAGCCCATCCCCTCGCCCCCTTCCCCTCACTCACGCCTCAGCCCTCTCCGAAACCCTTCCTGATCCCACGTTCCCGTTTTTCTCCCCCATACCCGTTCACAAGTTTTTTGCCATCGCACTTCCCTCGCACACAATTTTCTACGCCTTGTCACTCACGCCATCCACGTCCCCTTCCTCGCCCACCCCTTCCAACAGGACGCCATTCTCTCCCACGCAGGCCTCTCCGCCTCGCTCCCCTCACACACCATCTTCCACGCCTTCCTGCCCGACTTCCTGCGCTCCAAGCCAGCCCTCCTGCTCGCCTCACAGGGAAGCCCGTTCCAAAGCAACTCCTCTCGGGGGGGCTCCTCTCAGGACGCCTCCTCTCCTCCTCCTACCGTGCTGCAGTCTGCATGGCTGCAGTCGCAGGGTAAGTTCTGGCCGTGCCAGCCGCACACCCTGTGGGTCAAGTGCAAGAGCGCTGCTGCTATCAGGGAGGCTCTCGGCTTGGAGCTTGCTGGGGTAGAGGGAGACGCAGCAGTGACACCTGTAGGAGCAGCAGGAAAAGAAAAGCCCTCTCTTGAAGCCGCGTTTTCGGCATGGGCGGCAGCGGCGCCAATGGAAGTGCGCCACGTGGCGGCGTCGATCAACGAGGCAGCGATGCAGCGGGCTCTGGAGATGGTGCACCCGCATGCGAGGGAGAGGTACGAGATTGACGGGAAGAAGGTGGTATTTGGGGAGGATAAGATCGTGCCGATTGATGAGTGGATCAAATCTGATGTAGAGTGGTTATTGAAGGAGGGGATGAAGGAGGGAGACACCGGTAAGGATGGTGATAAGGAGGGAGGAGGGATTGGAGAGAGAGGGGTTGTGGTGGTGAGGTCGCCTGTTTTGATTACTGCGGATGAGATTCTTCCTGCGGAGTTGAAGGGAAGGTTTGGGGGAATGCACTATGTGAAGGTGATTACTGTAGCTCGTGCCATGCAATGGATTATGCTTGATGCTTTAAGGTAAAGGTCAACGAGTGTTGGCCTTTTATGCATGTGTGTTGGGTCTGACACAGTAAATGACTAGTGTATAAATGCATGTACATAATGTGGTAATGTCTGAACTAATTGCAGTTAATTAGCATAAACTAGCCTTCCTTGATACCATTGTCATGACTTGTTGTTTCTTGTTAGAGTGGGTTTATATGACAGTCTTACCAGCAAAACCATTTCCATCTGCACCACTGATGCACTCCTCTGCTAGGTAGTCCTCTTTATGTAAAATATGTAGCGCTTGTCATAGCCTGCAGCAGTTTATAAAGCAGAAACGTTAACGAGTGAGCACTGATTTGAGCAGCGCAGTATTCCCAGAAGCTTTTCGAATTGCAGCCGCGCGAAAAGCGTTTATTCGAGCGACGGTGACGTCTAGCGACGACGATGCCTTCAAGATGAATTGGTTAGGGCCGCGGTAAGAAAAGGAATACCGTAGCGTTGTTTCTTGCTGGTCACTTCTGAGTGGACTTGGTCATTCTACGATCGACACGCCTCCCCCGCGCGTGGAAGACGAGGAGCTGCGTGGCGGCGGAACTGCGTGGCGGCGGAACTGCGTGGCGGCGGAACTGCGTGGCGGCGGAACTGCGTGGCGGCGGAACTGCGTGGCGGTGTGTTGTTGCTGATTCACTCAAGGCGAGGCGAGGTCCCGCGTCAGAGCCAGCGCCGCTGTGGCTGTGGATTATCGTTGCTTGAAGCATTCACAGTCAGCTGGAAGAATGCGCGACGTGCCACAGTGCACAATCATCGCAGCCGACACTTCACATCTCTGGTGCGCCGTTTGCTCGTGGTAAGACGATTGGTGCGGCGACTTAATGCGCGACCCAATGCGCGACCCAATGCGCGACGTGCCTCAGTGCACAATCATCGCAGCCGACACTTCACATCTTTGGAGCGCCGTTTGTTCGTCGATTCACACGTCATTTCATGCTTGATCAAACAAAGGCAATTTTAGATTGACCATGTAAGGCTCCCCTCCCCTCCCCCAACCCCCTCCCCCCCTCCACCCCCCACCCCACCCCTCTTCCCCCCATTCCCCCCTTTTACACGTCGCCCCCTCTGCATCGCCCGACGCCACGTCAGCTACCCCGCGTGTGCGCGCTGCACGCGCTCGCTGTCGGAGTACACGGTGAAGGGCCAGCAGGTCGCCACGTGGCGCCCGTGGACGTGCAGCGAGTGCCAGCTGGCAGACTGCTCCGCAAAGCCCCTTGAGACGATCGAGCGACAGACACATCTGTTCAAGCTCAAGGTGGGTCCACCTTGATAAATATGTACTTTTGATAAATTCTCAAAAGTGATTTCCACATAAATGTATAGATGCTCACTCAATCACGCATCTATTGCTGACGAATCCATGTTCAGTTTCAAGGTGACTAACGGAAGGAAGGAAGGTGTGATTATGAGGTAAAAAGGAAGAGGCAATGTAACGAAATCACCACACACACTGCACGCACCGTCTTTATGCACACGCCCAACCCCATGCAAATGACAATGCGTGCAATCATATCCGAGTACTCCCCCGCCCAAGCCCCTTCTTTCTCCCATGAATCGGTCGCCCTTCTCCTTTCCCGTCCCCTCTCCACCTTCATCCCAACACACGTCACGGAAGCTGCTGCTGGTGCTACCAGGGGAGTCCCATCCCATCCTGTGTCCGGTGTGGTGTTTGACAAGGCGGCAGCCGCTCTCCTCTTTTCCCCCTTCCGCCCCTTCCCTCCACGCGGCAGCTGCTGCTGGTGGTACCAGGAGAATCCCACCCGGTGTCCGGTGTGACGTTTGACAAGGCGGCTCAGCCGCTCATAGGCTGCACCGGATCCCAGTGGACCGCCTTCGTCCGGAGATACCCCTACGCAGGTACGTCATGCGTCTTCCTTCTTACTTCTTCCTGATTTTGTAGCTGCCTGGGAAATTGTTCTCCAGTTGGCAGGTTCGCTAGAGCTTTAAGGTACATTTATCGGCAACACATATTGACACTTCTCTTAATTCCATGTTTTAATTGTCTTTCTAATCCTTGTTCTGTATCTCTCCCTTCACCTGTCTCCCTTCCATCTCTCTCCTCGCTCCCCTCTCCCCTCAACCTCTCTGTCCCCAGCATGTGTGTTGTCGGAGCTGCTGTGTGGCATGGTGTGCCGCGTGCAGATGAAGGACGCCGTGCGAGGCACAGGCCACGAGACCAGGCTCACTCGCATCGTCCCACTCCCGCTCTCACACTCACCGCACTCTCCCGCTCTCCCACCACACTCGCTCGCACTCACTCCTGGAGCGTCAAGAAACCCATCTCTGTTTGCACAGCTGCAGATGCTGTTTGGGGAGGCAGAGCAGGGTGGAGAGGGGCAGGGTGGAGAGGGGCAGGGTGGAGAGGGGCAGGGTGGAGAGGGGCAGGGTGTAGGGGGACAGGGTAGAGGGTGGCAGGGTGTAAGGAGTGACTCTTGAGTCGACTCAAAGTTCATCTCGCTCCCACACACTCCTGGAGCGTCAAGAGGCACGTCTCTGTTTACACAGCTGCAGATGTTGTTTGGGGAGGCAGAGCAGGGTGGATGGGGACAGGGTGTAGGGGGACAGGGTAGAGGGGGGCAGAGGGAAAAGGGGGGCGTGCATTGAAGAGGGTGCGTGCGAATATGCTTGGGGTAGAATGGCAGGTGCATGCATCATTGCATCATGTGTCTCCCAGGTGTGGTTCTTGAACCAAGCTGTGGTAAGCTTGCTCAAGAATTGAATGGTATGTGTGATGTGATCCATCCAGCATCTTGTTTAAACCTTTGTACCGGTAATATTCTCGATATGACTCCCAGTTTGGCTTGTTTAAACCTCCACTCATTCTCACCCTTTCTCCCCACCCCCCTTTGTCTCCCCCCCTCTTTTTCCAACTCCAGATTTTCCTCTATGGATCAGCTGTCTCATCAATTCCTAAAACTTAGCGAGATGCACCGTGATAGTGATAATAACTCATCAGTACGAGGTGTAAACAATTGTTGATGAAATGTTTGCCATTATTTTGTTTTCTTGTCTGGTTAATGCCAAACTATTGCAATTCTAGCATTTGGCATGATCATTACAAAGGGAACCATCATATGTGCTGAGCATACAAACCTTAGGATAAACGAGTTCACCTACATCGCGTTTGTTCCTCGGGATCACCGACCTTGGTGTATCTGTTTCGGCCTCCTTGAACTATAAAGGAGCCGCGTCCAAGACGCTGATTCTGTGTACCATACCTGAAAAGTAGAACCTCGCAGCATCTTGTTTTGAAACGTGTTTCCGTTTTTTCGGGTCCAGGTACGACACAGTTCTTCCACCAAAGCTTCCACTGACTTCCAACTTCCTTTGATTCAGACAGTCTGTAACGAACTTAAGAATACGGCCTCGAACGGATCGTTCCACCAGCATCTGCTTCTTCCTGCTCACCCTTTCCTCCCCATTCTTCATTTCTTCAGCCTAGCTCCATTTGTCAAAGTCAAGCCATATGCAGTTTCTCAGCCTAGTGTTGTCCTTTTCAGCTTCCGATGGAGTATAAAAGTGATGGAGGATAGGTAACGGCGAAGGACTTCTAGCGATGCCTGTTACCCTTGCTAGTTCGTCGTTGCCGAATTCGCAGTGCGCTTCACCACATTCCTGACAGCGTCCCCTTCCCCATGACACCTGGAGTAGGTGCCTGATAGGCTGCTTTAGATACAGTACAGCTACATAAGTTATAAACTACTGTGTTTTAAATATTGCAGATACGCGTCGTGGCACGGTGCGCCTTTTGCCTGGTAGATACGATCAGCTTGTCCTGATAGTTGATTTTTGAGTCGACTCAAAAGTCAACGCAAATAGGCGTCGTGGCACGGTGCACCTTTTGCCTGGTAGATACGATCACCTTGTCCCGATAGCTACGATCAGCTTCACGACATAAATGGCCGCCTCTCGCATTCACGTTGCTTTTCCTCTTCAACTCCTCATTCTCGTGGCTGTAACACTCACAGTGTCGCGTCCTCTTGTAGCGGGGACAAATGCACCAGCCTCTTTCTCTGCAGACTTTTCAGCAGCGGATGCGAATGGGGAATATTTGCGTCCGCGCCTATCCGTGGCGCACAGGAAACTCGCCGCCGAGACTGGCGCCGAAACTTACGCCGAAACTTTCGCCGTGACGTCCGGCGCAACTCGCGCCGCGAAATCCGGCCAGTCCGCCGCAGCAGCAAGAGCCGAGCACGCCGCGGCGGCATTAACGGACATTACAGCCGTTTATGACGCGGATGCGGAGTTTCCGGGCCCTCGAGTCACGACAGCAACGCAAAAGGGAGCAGATGCAACGGATGCTGTTGTAGCGGACACGTGGCAGCGTGTAACTGGCTCCGCGGCAGTGGGAGGGGATCGGCGAATCATGGCAGAGGGGGAGGCGCGAAAGGGAACTGTCTCACGGTGGTTCGGACTGAAGCGAGATAGTGGAGAAGGGAAGGGTTGGAGGGGGACGGGTGCAACAGGGATTGGGACAGGTGAAGGGGAGAGAAAGGGAGTGAGGGAGGGATCGAGGATGGGAGTGACGATGGGGAGGGGTAATGCTGCGGGAAAGGGTGATAAGGCAGAGGGAGAGGCGGAGGAGGAGGAGGAGGATGAGGAAGAGGAGGAGGGAGAGGAGGAAGAAAAGGAGGGGGTTGGGAAATCAGCCAAGGGAGGGGGCGGCCTTGGGAGTATCGGGGAAAGTGGTGGAGCGACATCCAGAGGTGATAGTGTTGAAGGTGATAATACCGGAGGGAATATTGTGCGAGGGGTTGGGAAAGTCAAGGCAGAGAAGCAAGAAGGAAAGGAAGCGGAGGAGGAGGAAGGGGAAGAGGAGGAGGAGGAGGAAGAAGAGGGGGAAGATGCGAAGGAGGGTGGGGGAGGAGTGAAACCTAGTGGAGAGGGGGTGTTGGGAAGGAGAGGCAGTGGGACAGTCATTGGCGGTCAAACAGTCAACAATGATGCTGTGAGGAGAGGTGGAGTCACAACGGAGGGGGTGACACTAGCAAGGGGAGGTGGCTCTGTGCTGACGAATTCGCCGGATTCGAACACGGAGAGAGCAGTGGGGGTGGGGGTGGGGGTGGGGGTGGGGGTGGGAATGGGAAGGCTGGCGGGTGAGGGGAAGGGACGGGAGAAGACGCAGGTAGCAGGGCAGGAGGAGAAGGAGGAGAAGGAGGAGGATGAAGAGGAAGAGGAGGAAGAAGAGGAAAGGGAGGCGGGGGGGAAGGCAGGGGAGAAGGCGACTCAAGGCAAGCAAGGAGCCGCGGCCGTTACCACGAGAGGAACTGATGCAGCCGGGACTGCTGCTGTAGCTGCTACAGCTGGTAACACTGGTGGCTCTTTCTCTACACTGCAAACTGCTGCTGGCAATGCGGTGAAGAAGAATGTGGAGGAGGAAGAGGAGGAAGAAAAGGAAGAAGTGGAAGAAGCAGGGGCGAAGACGTCGCAAGAGAAACAAGGAGCCACAGTCCAAGCCACAACCCTTACCACAACTGGAACTGGCGCAGCTGGGGCTGCTACTGTAGCGGCTACAGCTGCACGCACTGGCACTGGCAGCTCTTTCTTACCACTGCAAACTGCTTCGGGCAGCGTGGTGAAGAGAAGTGCCGATGAGGAAGAGGAGGAAGCTGAGGAGGAAGAGGAGGAAGAAGAGGAAGCAGGGGCGAAGACGTCTCAAGCAAAGCAAGGAGCCACACCCCTTACCACAACTGGAATCGACACAGGTGAAGCTGCTGCTGTAGCCGCTACAGCTGCTGGCACTGGCAGCGGCAGCTTCAATTCTCCACTGCGAAGTGATGCTGGCAGTGTGATAAAGGAGAAGAAAGAGGAAGAGGAAGAGGAGGAGGAAGAGGAAGAGGAGACAGATGCAGAGGAGAAAACGACTGTGGCCACGCACGGACCTGTGCTTCATACCACAGTGGGAAGTGACGCAGCTGGGGCTGCTGCTGTAGCGGCTACAGCTGCTGGCGCTGGCACTGGCACTGGCAGCTTTGATTCGCCACTGCAAACTGCTGCTGGCAGTGGGGCCAAGAAAGAAAAGGAAAAAGAGGAGGAGGAAGAGGAAGAAGAGGAAGAGGAGGAGGAGGAGGCAGAGGAGGAGACGTCTCAAGCCAAGCAAGGGACTGCGTCACTGAGCGATACAGGCGCTGCTGCGGCTGGTGCTACAGTGCCTGCTACAGCCGGTACAGCCGGTGCAGCCGGTACAGCCGGTACAGCTGCTACATCCGGTGCAGCTGGCACAGATGCAGCTACAGGCGGAGGTGCTGGGAGCTCACTGTACCCGTTAAAGACTGGTGCTGGCAATGTGGTGAAGGAGGAAGGGGAAGAGGAAGAGGAGGAGGAAGAGGAGGAGGAGAAGGAGAAGGAAGAGGAGAAAGGAGAGGTAGAGAGCAGAGCCGGTGCATGGGCAGCAGCAAATTCAGTGAGTGGAGCGAGGGCAGGAGGAGGGATAGGGACAGGGACGGGGACGGAGACAAGGATAGGGGCAAGGACAGAGACAGAAACAGAGGCAAAGACAGGGGCATGGGCGACTGAAGGGCTACAGGAGGGGGGTGCAGCAGGTGCGAAGAGCATCAGAGGAGAGAGGAAAGGTGAGGAGGGCGAAGAGGAAGAGGAGGAAGAGGAGGAGGAAGAAGGGGAGGAAGCGAAGGAAGGTGCGGGTGAGGGGATGCTAAAAGGAGACAAAAGCTTGGAAAAAGGCGCTGTTGATGATGGTTCTGGTGCTGGTGGTGGTGCAAGTGCGACTCGTTTTGAGACGCGTCAACACCCAAAGAGCGCAGAACTGTCTGGTGCCGGTGCGAGTGGGAAGGAGAAAGAGGATGAGGGAGAGGAAGGGGACGAGGAGGGAGAGGAAGAGGACGAGGAGGACGAAAAAGAAGAAGGCGATAGATCAGGAGGAAGAGGCACTGCTGCTGGTGTCGGAAGGGGTGGGTTAACTGCTGGTGGGGTTTTTCCACGTGGCGCTGTTCCATATGGCAGTAAAGAATCAGCTTATAAGGGAGCAACCAGCAGCACTGATTTCGGGAGTAGTGGCAGAGGAGGTGGTGGTAGTGGTGGGGATCCCGAGGAGGTTGAAGGGACGAGCGTGGTGGGGAAAGGGCCGCCAGAGACCGGCTCTTTAGCTAGTGCTGCTACTGTTACTGGTGCTGGTTATGCTGGCGCTGGTGCTAGTGGTGGTGGTGGTGTTGTTAGTGGTGCTAGCGGTGCTGGTTCTGGTGCTGCTTCTTCTGGGTTAAGTTCTGATGGTGCTGGTGGTAAGAAGGCAGGGAGGGCGGGAGATGAAGAAGAGGAGGGGAGTGAGGAGGAAGAAGAGGAGGAAGAGGAAGAAGATGAGAAGGTTGGGGTGAAGGAGAGAGGTGTGGCAGGGGAGGCGTCTGAAGGCAAGCTGTTGGATGGTGCTTTGAGTGGTGGTGTGGTTCAGTCAGAGGCGAGACGGTCGGGAGTGAATGAGCCCGAATTGAGCAAGGCAGGAGTGATTAAGTCAGGAGCGACTAAGTCTGGAGGAGCAGCAGAAGAAACGGTGGCGAAGGGAAAGCAAGGTGCTGAGGAGAAGGAGAAGGAGGAGGAGGAGGAGGAAGAAGAAGAGGAGGAGGAGGAGGAGGAGAATGGGAGGGGGAAGGATGAAGAGAAGCCAGGCACAAAGACAGCGCTGGGTGGAAAGGGAGAAGCATCAGAAGGTGAATCAGAATCGGAGCATGTATCGCAGGTTACAACATCCGGTTCTACAGATTCGTTCGTGAAGGCTGGTGGCATGAGCCGTGGTGTGACTGTAGGAGGAGGTGATTCAAGGGGTGGTAGCAACGGGAGAGATAGGCTGGAGAAGGGAGGGATTGGAGGCGAGGGAAGAGTGAAGGGGGAGGACGAGGAGGAGGAGGAAGAGGAGGAGGAGAGTGAAGAAGTGGAAGAGGAAGAGGAGAGTGTAGGAAAGCGGAAGGAAAAGGCAGAGGCTGGTGGTGCTTCAGCTGCTGCTTCAGGTGTTGGCTCTGATGGTGGTTTGACGAAGCCTGCGACAACTGGAACCCGAAAACGGACTGGAATGGGAGATTCAAGTATAAGTGCAGGTAGTTCTGAGTCGACTCGAATTAGCGAAAGTGGAGGTGCAGGTAAGCATACAGGGGCAGCAGCTAAGAGTGGTGGCAGTAAGGCAGATGAAGAGGAGGAGGGTGAGGAGGAAGAGGGGGAAGAGGAAGATGAAGGGAAAGAAGATAGGAAACAGGAGGAGAGAGTAGGGACTGGCGAGGAGGGGGTGAGAGGGGAGAGGGAGGGTGGAGAGGTGAGAGGGGAGAGGGTGGGTGGAGGGGTGAGTGGAGAGTGGGGTAAGAAGAGTGGGACGCGGGAGGAGGGGGATGCAGGCACGAGGATGGAGGGGATTGGCCGAGGTGGCCGGGATGGTGCTGTTGGTGAGAGCAGGGAGGACGGAAGGGCAGAGACAGGTGGGATTCCTGTGAGAGGAAAGGAGATTGAAGAGCAGAAGGAAAAGGAGAAGGGTGAGGAAGAGGAGGAGGAAGGAGAGGAGGAAGAGGAGGAAGGGGAGGAAGAGGGAAAGGAGGAGGAGGAGGAGAAGAAAAGTGTGGGGAGAAAGGCTGGTAAGGGAAAGGGGAGAAAGGGAGTGTCAGGACGTAGAGGAGAAGCTGGGGAGGAGAAAGAGGAGTTTCAGGAGAGCGAGGACGAGTCAGAAGGGAAGGAAGAAGAGGAATCAGAAGGGAAAACGTCAATGAGGGGTGGGTATACAACGGCAGGGCATCAACAGTCGAGGGCAGAGGAGGCGGAGGGAGATAGTGAGGTGAGTGAAGCTGCTGCTGTTGCTGTTGCTGCTTCTGCTGGTGGTGGTGGTGCTGACGCGGAGAAGGCGAGGAGAGGAACGGATGGAGGAGAGGAAGGGGCAATGGGGGAGCGGAAGGTGGGGAAAGGAAAAGAGGGAAGTAGAGGTGATGATGAGGATGAGAGTGAGGATGAAGAAGCAGAGGAAGAAGAGGAAGTGGGCGAGGAGAGTGGTGAGAGGAAGAAGAGAGGATCAGAGGGGGAGGAGGGTCGTGGGGAGAAGAAGGGAGGGGGAGCGGAGGAAGAGAAGGGAAGTGACGAGGAGGGAGAAGAGAAGGGGGAAGGGAAGGGAGAAGGGAAGAAGAGAGGTGAGGAGGGTGGGATAAAGGAGAGCAGATCAGCAGGGAAGGAAAATATGGAGGCAGAGGAGGGAGAGACGGATGGGGTGGAGGAGGGAGAGGAAGGGGAGGAGGAAAGGGGAGGAGGTAAAGGTGGCAAAAGGGCCGGAGTGGTGGGAGAAGAGGAAGAGGGTCGAGGGAGGGAGGGGGAAACGGAGGGGGTTAGGGACGAGGGAAGGGAGGATGAAAGAGAGGAGGCAACGGAGGAGGAGGGGGAGGAGGAAAGGGAGGAGGGTAGAAAGGAGGGAAGGGAGCAGGAAAGGGAGGAGGAAAGAAGGGAGAAAAGGGAGGGAGAGGGTGGTGGTCTTCATTATAAGACAGGTGGGGAGCGTGTTAGCGGTGGCGACGGTGGTGATGATGGGGGAGGGGAGCGGGAGTGGGGAATGAGAGGAGGTGAGCGTGAGGGTGGAGTAGGAGGAGAAGGAATGGGAGGAGGAGGAGGAGGGGATCCTGATGATACAGGAATGGGGAGAGATGCTGGGGTCGATGAGAGGCAGCAAGGGGAGGCTGGGGAATCAGGAAGTGGAGAAGGAAGGGGAGAGCACGAGAGCAATGCTCCAAGTGACCTCTCTTCCTATGCTGCTGCACGCGGTGACACCACCCATGGCCAGAGGGAAGGCGACCCTTCCTATGGCCACGCACAGGGGCAGCCAGGCAGTGAGTTTGGCAGAGCACAGGGGCAGCAAGGCAGTGAGTTTGGCAGCAGCAGCGGCGGCGTCGGAAGGGAGACGGAATTTGGCAGAGAGCAGGGGCAGCAAGGCACCGACTTTAGCAGCAGCAGCAACAGCAACACGAGGGAGAATGAGTTTGGGGGATCACATTGGGAGCAAGGCAGTGAGCCTGGCAGCGCACAGGGGGGGCAAGACACTCATTCTGGCAGCGCACACGGGGGGTTGGCAAGGGCGGAAATGGGAAGCAGCAGCGACGTGAGTGTCCCCGACGACCACTCCCTGGGCCTGGGGCTGGGCTTTGGACAGGTAGCAGCAGGAGAAGACACGGACTGGGACGTGCCCCTGCCGCAGCCCGTGCTACAGACGCGGGCTCAGGCTGTAGCGGATGGGTTCAGAGAGGCTGCAGGGCGATTCGTGCCCATGCTGCCCGTTGAACAGGTGAGATGCAGGGCAGGTGAGCTGGGATGTGTGCTAGTGTGTGGGTGGGCAGGATCTGGTGCGGGTGGTATCTGGGGTGTTAGTAGAGGGTGAGTAGCATCGGGCAAGGTACCCCAGCCCGTGCTACAGACGCGGGCGCAGGCTGTAGCGGATGGGTTCAGAGAGGCCGCAGGGCGATTTGTTCCGATGCTGCCCGTTGAACAGGTGAGATGCAGGGCGGGTGGGATGTGGGGCAGGTGAGGGTTGGGGTCAGGCCTGTCGAAGTCCCTGGGACCAAAACTTTGAGTCCTGAGCTGCGTGAATTCTGGCCCTGATTTTCACGGGCGCAGGCAGAATTCAACACTTGAAATCCGGGCTTCTTATGAAAGCGTACTTATCCCTAACGTAACAAAGATCGGATATTTACCAACTACTTAGCAGCGAGAGGGAGCATGCTTACTACTCCTCTACACCTGAGGAGCAGTCACATCTTCAGCCTCTACATCGTAGGCGAAAACATCGTCAGCAAAAACATCGGGGGGTCATAGGCAAGAACATCGGGGCGGGGGGGAGGGGGGAATTGTTGGGGGAGGGGGTCCTTCGAAACAGAACCAAAACTTGGATTCAGTGGAAGGCCCAAGCGAGGCCCTTAACTGTCACGGGTGCCATGCGAATCTAACACTTTAAACGGTCGAGCTGCTCCGAGCGTAGTCCGGAATGTTCAGGGCATTAAGGGCAAATGCCCTTCGACAGCCTTGGTTGGGATGGGTTGTTGACTAGGTGTTTTGGACAGACATGGTTGTATGTTTTTTACGCACGGTCCACTCGTCACAGATTCCTGTTTAACCAGCTACCATGTAATGTAACCCTCTCTCTTGTACCAGGTGAAGCGGGTGGAGGAAGCTGCCAAGAAGTTTGCCAAAGATGGAACCATCATCTTTGCAGCAGCATCGTATGGTGAGTCACGCCCCCCTTGTCATTCGCCCCCCTCCCTCCCTTGTCATTCGCCCCCCTCCCTCCCTTTTCATTCGCCCCCCTTGTCAATCGCCCCCCTCCCTCCCTTGTCATTCGCCCCCCTCCCTCCCTTGTCATTCGCCCCCCTCCCTCCCTTGTCATTCGCCCCCCTTGTCAATCGCCCCCCTCCCTGCCTTGTCATTCGCCCCCACCCTTTCATCTGCTTGCGTTGTAATCCACCTGCCTGTGACTCTTTCAAGATGTCCTTAAGGAATCGCGTACCTCCATGCTCCCCCCCCCTCCCTCCCCCGCCCAACCCCCTGTCCAGTGTACCTGCCTCTCTTCCGCAACTGGGTCACCGCTCTCAACCGCATTAGCCTGTCTAACCACTTCCTGCTCTTTGCCCTCGATCAGGTGAGATGTGGGGGAGGTGGGACTGGAGGGAAGGTGTGATGGGGGAGATGGGAGCGCGGGAGGTGGGATTGGGGAGAAGGTGTAATTTGTGGGGACGTGGGATGGGGAGGCAATGTGACTGGGGAGAGGTGGAATGGAATGCCTGGCCATGCCATGCCGTGTGGCTCAACTCAAACAGCCAGACCTCAGCACGCATCACCTCAAAATGACCCCCTTCCTTTTCATGTACATGTGAACCACGTGGCAGTGGAGGATGCGTATCCCGGCCATGCCATGTGGTTGCTGCGCAGAATTAAACCAGCAACATCACCTCAAATCTCCCCCCCCCCTCCTCCTCTCTGTTCGCTACTCTCTTCCCCCCCAGGCCATGTACGTGGCAGTGGAGGACGCCTATCCCGGCCATGCCATGTGGCTGGGGTCCCACATTTGACACCATCAGCCTGCACGTGCTATCTAACCAACCTGCTGCCTTCCCTACCCCCTCTCCCTCCGCTCTCCCAGGCCATGTACGTGGCAGTGGAGGATGCCTATCCCGGCCATGCCATGTGGCTCGAAGTGGCAAATTTGACCCAGCATCCTACACCGCGACCCACCGCTTTCCACCACCTCGGCTCCCCGGAGTTCCTCCTGTTGGCCGCCCGCCGCCCCTTCTTCGTGCGAGCGCTGCTCAAGGCTGGAGTGAACGCCCTTTACAGGTAACAAGTGCTCTTCCAGTGAGTAAGTTCCTTCACACCCATTCCTTTTTCCATTCCCAGAAGGCTTGTCCCATCCTTTCTCTCATCTCCTTCCATCTCCTCTTCCCTGTCCCCTCTCTCCTCCCCTCTCCAACCTTAAATCAGAACCCATTCGTTCCCCTGTGCTCCCTCTCTGTTCCCCACATCTCACTGCAGTGATCTTGACACAGTGTGGCTCAAGAATCCCCTCCCCTCCTTCCCCCCCGCCCTCGACAGTACCTTCCAAGATGACTCCCACCTCTTCTCCCCTGGAGAGTGTTTTGAGTCGACTCAAACCATTCTTCTCTCTCTCTCCTCCCTCTCTGTTCCCCACATCTCACTGCAGTGATCTTGACACAGTGTGGCTCAAGAGCCCTCTCCCCTCCTTTCCCCCCGCCCTCGACATCACCTTTCAAGACGATTCCCACCTCTTCTCCCCCGGAGAGCTCTCCCCTCTCCCACTCCCCTCCTCCCCCTCCTCCTCCTCTCCTTCCAATTCCTCTCTCGCCGTCCCTCTCCCTTGGTCGCAAATCGCCCGAGCCTCTCCGTGCCTGGCCCTGTTCCGCCAAACCAAGGCCACCGAAGCTGTGGTGGAGGATTGGGCGCGGAGAATGGCAACAGTAGACTACACCTACGCCGTGCCTAGCAGCGACGTACCTCTGCTGCAAAAGGCCCTATTTCAAATGGCCAAGGATGGAAAACCTCTCAAAGTGGGTATTTTACCTCAAGAATCCTTCCCTCCTGGGTGGCTTGCCTTCAGCCCTCTAGGTTCCTCCTCCCCTTCAGTTTCATCCTCGTTAGAAGCCTCCCAGTTACCAAGATTAGGATCTGAATCGCTTGTAAAGGACCAGCTGCCGTCGTCGCTGTCGTTTGGTGGAGCGGTAGAGAGGGGGGTAGAGGGGAGTGTGTGGTTGCAGGAGCACAGGGAGGAGGTGGTGGTGGTGCATTGCAATGCTGCTCGCCTGCTGCCGTTCAAGATAGATGCGATGAAAGGTGCTGGCGTGTGGTTCTCTGATGCTGCAGAGTGAAAGGTGTTGTTACTGCACTAACTAGTGGTGCTTGGATGTGGTGGTGGTGGCTGATGCATTGTTCACAATGCAGATGGGCTGCTGTCGATACAATTATGACTGTGTGTGAGTGAGTGATTAAGTCTGTGTCATGGTTGCTTTCCTTGGAGAGGATGCTGTTAAGACTGTTTGAAATGTCATAGATTCTTAAGGAACAACATAGATTTTACTCTTTCATTGCTCCTGTTTCGTTTGTATCTTGAAGTTTATATACGTTCAGCTGGAGGATTCGTTGTTGCAGCGTTGTTAATAACGAAGCGAGGCCATCTCCCTGCCTGCACCACCCACCAACCACTGAAAGGCGATGACAGTTTCTCAGATCTGCCTCGTAAGAAATTACACAATGCCATAGAACCGAGCAGAAACGTACAGAACCTTTCAAATATCACTGCGTTGCAACTTTAGTGAGACTGTGATCATGCAAGTTCCGTTCCGCCTGTCACGGCACATAAGTAGTGTTTTTTTACCCAAGGGCGTCGCAGTCAGTTCTCCAGACCGTTACTAATTACAGTAGAGGTGCATTGCCGTCTGATCTGCGTCCCTTCACCGCCAGGATGCAGATTTCACGGGTATTAGTGGCTAGTCTAGCCGTTCTAGGATTAGGTCTGTGCTGCTTAGCTAATGGAGATTCGTTACCCCAAGCCGGCACAAGCTCTTTCGGTGTAAGCTCCAGCCGGCGTCAATCATCCTTTTTTTTAATTTCTTCTTCTCTCAACGCACCATCATTATAGTTTGTAAATCCCGGTAGGCGGGATGCAGATTAACCGCATGATCCATGAGCATTAGCCGAAACAGTGATCTATTTTGTTTCACTGCAGCATTTCTTACGTAAAATGTAAGGCAAGGCTATGCTGTTTAATACTTCTTAAGTTCCTTTCTGCTACCGGTCATCTTGTTCCTCACAGATGAGAGAGTTGCTGCAAGATGACACCAAGACCTTACGAGAGGGCAAGGTAGCTATTCCCTTTCCGTCAAGCAAGCATTAGGAAGTTATAATGTTGGTGCTTTTAGGTCTATCTTTACGATGTCAGTCCAGGGTTCCGGTTGATGCTCCCGGCTGAAACTCTTAGATGTTGCGGGCACGATGCCGGAGGAATTCGAAGTTAATGGCAGACGTAGCCTGCAGCAAGGTGACTTTTGAGTCGACTGAAAAGTCACCTCTTAGATGCTGTGGGCACGGTGCCGGAGGAATTCGAAGTTAATGGCAGACGTAGCCTGTAGCACTTCTGAGGCGCCTCAGAATATAATGATTTATGAGGATTCGAGGTTAGCAATGGGGGGAAATGGCAGGCGGAGCCTGCACCACCGTAAGTATAGCCGCCGAGAGTAGGTGATCTGCTATGTTCTGACACTACGTATCGTACGCTGCGTCACGTGCAGTTGCCATCACATTGAATCGCGCGAGTCTCAGGAATTAACCTCGGAAGTGAATGTAAAGTGTAATAATTATAACGAGTTCTTTGTTATCGCGTTCACGGTGAGCAGCTCCTGGCGGAGACTCTCGCGGATGCAGCCGGAGAAGCGACCCAGGCAGCAGCCGCTGGCACTAAGGGGAACAACAACGGGTGGGGTGGAGGGGCGGAGAGCGGTTCAGAGGGGTGGAAGGATGCGCTGTGGTCTCCAGCGAAGCTTCTGGACGCGTTCGTGACGAGCCTGTCCATGATCCTCGTCAGCGAGGTGAGTCGCACTGGCGACTCGTCATAAACCAAGGAGGTAGCGCGGCAGGATGCGATGCCTTGTGGTTGGCAGCCAAGCTGTTGGATACCTTCGTGACGAGCCTGTCAATGATCCTCGTCAGCGAGGGATCGGGTGAAGGGGACCACAGAGCACAAGGAAGGATGTGATGCTCTGTGGTCCCCTTCACCCGACTGACTTCAGATTTGATAAAGCGTTAATCCTGGCAGCCGTGATGGCCATCCGCCACCATCCCCCCAGCATTCAGCTAGGTACCAGTTATCATGCCGTCGTGTTGTTTGATTCTCTACCTGCCCCGCTCTTCCTTCGCTTCATCATCTCCTGTGCGTTACAGATCGGAGGCGAGACGTTCATGATCGCTGCACTCATGGCCATGCGCCATCCGCGCAGCATCGTGCAAAATACCTACCAACTACCATGCCATTGTGTCATTTCATTCTCTGCTCCTTTTCTCCCTTCCACGCCCTTTCTTCTCACTTCATATTTTCTCTGTGTGCTACAGATCGGGGATGAGACGTTCATCATCGCTGCTCTCATGGCCATGCGTCATCCGCGCAGCATTGTGCTGGCTGGAGCGCTCTCTGCTCTTGGGATCATGACAGTGAGTTTGCTTGTATGTGGTATTGTGGAAATGCCTGTAGTGTTCACATGGGCATGGCTACATGGCAGCCTTTCCCCTTTCTCCTCTTTGCCCCTTTCCTCTTCTTTACCCCCCTTGCACAGGTCCTATCCACTAGTCCACAATTTCCCATCTTCCGTCTCACAGTGCCAAGCTTCCGATCCCATTTCCTCCCCATGCTCCTTTTGAGGCGCCTCAAAAGTCGTTCCTCCACCTCCCCATTCTCTTTGCCGCTCTTGTCCGCCTCTCATGCGCAGGTGCTATTAACGGGTTTGGGCTTCATAGTGCCCAACCTCCCCTTCCCCCCCCGCCAACCCCCGCCTCCTCCTTGCCCTTTGCCCCTTTTCCCCCTCACGCTATACTCATTGCTCCTCTTGTCCGCCTGCCACGCGCAGGTGCTATCAACGGGACTGGGTCTCATAGTGCCCAACCTTATTTCCAGAAAGGCCACCAACAGTGCTGCCACAGGTGAGTCGGGGTCTCGCGAAATGACTAGTTTGCATCAGAGAAGAGCGGTGAGAATGGAGAGGAAAAAAAAAAAAAAAAAAATTGGACCGTATTTGTACGTCAATTTCTTGTCAGTTGAGCCCCACACAGTGCCGCACACTATTTGCCTCATGTTCTCTACGTGTCAGTCTCAACATTCACCCCTGTCAACCCCATCACCTGCGTCATCTCCGCACCTCCATCACTCCCACACCTCCCCAGTGCCGTACACTTTCTTTGGCCTGCGTCTGCTGTACATTGCATGGAGGGGAGACGGCAGACTTCATGGAAGGAGTGCATGAGTTGAAGACCATTGACTTCCCTCGCTCTTTGCCTTGCCACTTCACCTACCTCAACTCAACCCCACTACCCCCCCTCCCCACCCCACCCATGCAGTGCTGTACACCTTCTTTGGCCTGCGTCTGCTGTACATTGCATGGAGGGGAGACGGCAGACTTCATGGAAGGAGTGCATGAGTTGAAGACCATTGACTTCCCTCGCTCTTTGCCTTGCCACTTCACCTACCTCAACTCAACCCCACTACCCCCCCTCCCCACCCCACCCATGCAGTGCTGTACACCTTCTTTGGCCTGCGTCTGCTGTACATCGCGTGGAGGGAGAGGCCAGACCCTAAGCAGCAAGAAGTGCATGAGACCATTGTCTCAATTCGCTCTGTGCCTTGCCACTTCGGTTACCGCAACCTCACTACCCCCCCTCCCCACCCCACCCCCCCCAGTGCTGTACACCTTCTTTGGCCTGCGTCTGCTGTACATCGCGTGGAGGGCCGACCCCAAAGAGTCTGCTGCCAAGGAGATGGAAGAGGTGGGTGCGTTGTGCGTCCGCTGATGTCATATGCTTTCTTGACATGTCCATACGAAGGCTTCTTGTATCAGAAAGAACTACCTCACAGGCTCAGGGCATTTAATAGTACTTGCTGCAAGGCCGCAGCATTTGCGCTCGATTTGAGGTGCGGACAGTCAATTCTCAACATTGTGTAAAGCCTCCTTGTCCTGTCTCTTGAGGCGTGAGCAGGTGGAGGAGAAGCTAGAGAGCGAGGAGAACGACAAGGGCAGGCACAGAGGCATTCGCAAATTCTTTGCTGGCTTCTGCACGCCTGTATTCCTCGAGGTCAGTACGCCCTTCGCCCATGTTGTTTGCCTCAAAAGTCGTCTCTTCACTTGCCATCTGAGGCGCCCCAAAGTTCTTTCCTGGGTTCACGCCTGTCTTCCTGGAGGTTAGTAGGCCCTTCTCCATGCTGTTTCTCCTCCCGAGTGCCATCTTTTCGAATTTTATGCTCCCAGTTGCTATAGTAGACGCCATATCCCCGACCTGTTGGTGTCATTGTCCGTTCCTTGGTATTCCTCCTTCTCTGAATTTGTGCATTGCTATAAGTACTAGTGCTAAACCTTCCATTTTATTGCATCTCTGTTGACCGGTCATTGCTATTCGCCGCTCTTGCGTCTCCCTCTCTTGTACCCGTTCACCCTCCTTTCCTCTCCGCATGACCTACCTACCGTCCCCTCCTCTCAGGCCTTCATCCTCACCTTTCTCGCCGAGTGGGGTGATCGCAGCCAGATTGCAACCATTGCTGTAAGTCCCGTGGGAGCTGGAGGGGTGATAGGGGGGTGGGGGTGGGGGTGGGGGTGGAGGGAGGGAGGGAGGGGTTTGGTTTGCAGTGTAGGGAGTTCGGAGCTAAGCGATGGGGACAGCAAAGGGCATTTGGGCAGGAATATTTGGCCACTTGAAGAAAGTAGGTTTATGGGAATTTGATATGGCATGAGGATACAGTATAAAGGTTATATGGGAGAGGCTTTATCATCCCCCTTTATTATTTTCTCCAGCACGCTCAGCTTGCAGTGCACAAGAACGCCTCTGGAGTGACAGTGGTGCAGTATCAGGCCATCTGGTCTGCACCACCATTGCAGTAGTGGGCGGCAGACTGATTCTTTCATACCATAAGAAACTCCTCCCAGAACTTTCCTTACCTGTCTGTCTCTCCCTCCCCTCCCACACATGCAGCTGGCAGCACACAAGAACGCCTTGGGAGTGACGGTGGGGGCGACGCTGGGCCATGTGGTGTGCACCACAGAATAAAAGTGATGTTTTCAGACGTCTCAAAACATCACTTTTATCACACTGGGCCATGTGGTGTGCACCACAGCGGTGGGCGGCAGACTGCAGACTGCTACTCTGACATCTAAAATGCTCCTCCCCCATCTCCCCCGCCTTGTCTGTTTCTCCCTCCCCTCCCACACGCGCAGCTGGCAGCACACAAGAACGCCTTGGGAGTGACGGTGGGGGCGACGCTGGGCCATGTGGTGTGCACCACCATTGCAGTGGTGGGCGGCAGACTGCTCGCCCTGCGCATCTCGCAGCGCACTGTAGCTATGATGGGAGGAGCGCTGTTCCTCATATTTGCCGTCCACTCGTACTACTCCCCTATAGAGTAACTGTAAGGATTTCTAGGAAGTGTTGTGCAGGATTGCTGGAGGGGTTTCTGACATAGGCGCTGTCAGCAGCTCATGGCGGATGTGCCTTTTTATGCATAAGCTGTGCTATTGTTCATTCTACAATTATTTTATCATTCAATAGCTAGATGGCACCTGCACCCATCTCGAAGAGTTGTGGAGGGCAGACTGCCTGCTGGTTTTCACCCTTCTCTCATCCTGGGTTGCATTATACAGCTTTGTGTTAGGCCTGCAATATAGGAGAAAAGGATTGAAGTACGGGTTTCTCCAGTGATCCCTAACTTTTACTCTTTCATTTCACTCAACTCAGAGTAAAGGCATACTTCGTACAGTCACAGGGCTGACCTTGACCAACTCTCATTGGCCCTTCCTCTTCTTATCGAGGAGCCACCTCAGCTCATCATGCGCTGGACACAGTCTCGCTTGTCTGGTTGGCTCGCGAAAATTCCTCCATCGATCTTGCCGAGCACGCTCAGCACGTGGCGCAAATTGATGATGAGGGTCTCGTTTGATCTCATGGCTACTGGAAATCGGGTTCGCTATTGCAGCGAAGTTGGATGCGGCCCTGTGAGATGCACAATACATAATCAAGGTTCTAGTGCGGTGACGAGCCGAGCATTCGGGATTTTCTTCATCGTTCTTGAGATTGCATTCTGCAGGAGTTACTGACTGACCACTTCTGACAAACTGACTGGTGTGACTCAAGTTACTGTCCTGCGCAGAGTGGTTCATGGTCGCTATGGAGTCGCGATAGCAAGCTCGCTTACACTACCATTATGCAAACGTACATTTCGCTAATTGGACTAGAATAGGTTCATTAGTTTGTTCAGTTCTTCGATCGCTGGTTTTCCCTCAGGAAGCCGAGCTATCGGCTCTGCCACTCGTGCGAAGTGCAGATGTCGGTCCGCCTTACCGCGCATAGCTCATGCTATTTTGTTATTTCCGTCTGATTTCGCATCGTCTGCATGGACGTGCATCTTCCGCTGCACGTTCCTTCGGAACGGCTAGCCGGCTCGCGGCCGATCATCAAAAGCATCCATGCATCCTCGATCCGCAACCCGAAAGGGTTTATTAGGCTTTCGCTTGGCCTTAAACGTTCTGGTCCCGAAGGCCGCGAAGCGGATGTCAGGGCTAGGGTAAACAGCTGTGCTTGGGCTTTAAGCCAATCTCGTCGTAAGTCTTCGATCAGGCAAGATGACCCCCGTCACGCGCGATGGTCCGTTGTGACATTCGCGTTACAGCACTCTTCGGTGGCAGCAAGCGCGAGCTCAGAACACGACTCGGCCGAACAAACCGATCCGGGGTTGCTGTGGGATTTCTCCTTCGATTCCGACGAGGACGACGGGCCGCTTCCAGAAGCCCCGTCGCGCTGCTTGCTGCACGCCTTCTCGTGGTCGTCGCATGAATCGGGAGGAGGAGGGATCAACGGCAGGTGGTACGACGTGCTGGCGGAACGCGTGGGTGATTTCAAGGCGATGGGCTTTTCGGACCTCGTTTTCCCGCCCTGCTGCAAGGCTGCTGATGGACCAGGTGAATCTTCATGTCAGGTGATTCTTCATGTCAGGTGATTGTTCATATCAGGTGATTCCTTATGTCAGGTGAATCCATGTTGGGTGATACTTCTTGTCATGTGAATCGATTTGTCAGGTACATTGGTCAATCGCATTCGAGACTTTGCTCCATATACCCAACCACGAAGTGTAACTTTCTTTCTCTGTCTTACGCAGGTTTCTCCCCAGTGGACTTTTACGACCTCAATAGCGCGTACGGGACAGAGGCCAGCCTGCGGAAGCTGCTGGCGCAGCTGCACGCAGCAGGGCTAGGCGCGTGCCTGCACGTGGTGGTGAACCGGATGGGCGGATGGGGAGAGACGAGCGGATCGGAGCAGCAGCAACAGCAACAGCAGCAGATGGGGGAAGGAAGTGGGGTGCCAGGGGGAGTAGGACCCGGCGAGCCAGGGCTGTCAGAGTGGAACCGACTCACCAACACGGTGGACGAGGTCAGTGGGTCCCTTAGTCGTTGTAACATTCAGTTTTTTTAGTCGACTCAGAAGGAGGTGGGCCGCCGGGGGGAGTGGGTCCCGGCGAGCCAGGGCTGCCGGAGTGGAACCGACTCACCAACACAGTGGACGAGGTGAGTGTGTCCCATTGTCGTTGTAACTTAAATCTAAGATTCAAACGCACTCTGTGCTTCGTCCCCTTGCCCAGCCTTTCAAAACTCGTGCCCCCTTCCCTTGCAATCCAAGTGGGAGTTTGGCGGCATATTTGGGAGTTCCCTCCTTCCCACGTGGATGGATTTACATTGCAGCATCTGAGCATTCCATATTCCCTCCTTCCACTCACTTCTTCCTTCCCTTCCAGTCATCCACCCTGTCCTTCCCGTCCATCCTGCCAGCAGTGTGCGGCAGGGGGAGCAGGTTGACATGCACGCATCTCCGGGAGGGGTGGGGGGGAGGTAGCAACAGAGACCATGGGAATCCCGTACTCAACAGGAGGACGTTTGAGTCCACGCTTAACAATCTCCCTTTCCTTTTTCCCCGCGTCCAGCCAGCCTGCAGTGGGGCGGCAGGGCGATCAGGTTGACCTGCATGCTTCAAGGGGGGAAGAAATAGTACCATACCATACTTCAGTCCACAGTGCAGCATTCATTACTGGATTCTCAACATGAACCCCCCCGTGTGCAGCCTGCAGTGTGGCGGCAGGGCGAGCAGGAGGGCATTGGCGCGCAAGCAGCGGGGGGAAGGAGCGGCGTGATGGACCATGGGAACCCGGCAGTGGAGGAAGACTTGTGAGTTCACGCGACAACTATCTCCCCTCCCCCACCTCTCCCTTTCCCCCGCGTCCAGCCTGCAGTGTGGCGGCAGGGCGAGCAGGAGGGCATTGACGTGCAGGCATCAGCAGGGGCGAGGAGCAGCGTGATGGACCATGGGAACCCCGCAGTGGAGGAGGACTGTAAGGGGTGGCTGCGGTGGCTGCGATATGACGTTGGCTTTGATGTGAGTGGGAGCAGCAGCGAGTCTGCCAAAGCACATTTCCTTTCTGATGCGGCTGATTGTGCACATTGTGTCCCTCTTTTTTCTCCTTTATTATCACATTGATGTGTTCCCCATGCCCCCCCTACTGTGCTTTCTTTTCTTTTTTTTGCTGCCCCTGCCATGGCCCCCCTACTGTGTTTCCGCCTTTCCACTTCTTTTTGCTGCCCCTACCGTCGCCCCTCTACTGTGTTTCCTCTGATCCGCTCCCCTTCTCTCCCCTGCAGGCATGGTGTTTCGACCTCGCACGTGCCTTCGATCCAGCAGTAACTCACTCGTGAGTCACTCCTCCCGTACCGAACCACACCCTCCAGCATTGGCCGATGCCGAGCCAAACCTCTGCACCCATAGCATTGCCCCAACGAAGTCAATGCTGAACAGTTTCCTTGGCTGCATGTGTCGCTGTGCCTCAGAGGCTGCCTGTGCCTGCGCCCATCCCCCCGCCCATAGGCACTCGGTGCAGGTACTGCTGGGATACGAGCCCCACGTTTGCTGTCGCTGATGTGTGGACGGAGATGCGGTACCAGGGGAGCACACTCGAGTATGATCAAGGTGAGCAGCGACTGAGCAGGTTGCCATTGTTTTAAGAAAGAAAGCAGGTTTCCTTTTCTTTTTAAGAAGTTGTTTTAAGCCATTGTCAGGCTACAACCGTGACGGTTGGTTGTAATGAGCTGATTGGCTGCATGATTCATCACTCTACATCGGTGCTTTGTTATCCTGCACATGCCACTCTTCCTCTCTGTCCCCTGCAGACGCCCATCGAGCACTGCTCGCTGACTGGGTGAAAGCAGCACGGGGAACGCCTCATATGATTGACTACACCACAAAGGTAAATTTATTGTATTGCACTTAAAGTGAAGTGGCTGGAGTGCAAGCAGCATCTGTTATCATAGGGCTACACCACAATCGTACACTAGTCTTCATGATATGAAGTCATAGACGTGTGTTTGCTTGCACGGGTCACAAAGGCCCCGCCTTTATCCTCTCTCTACCAAAAGTATATTCCCTCTACCCCCTGATTCTCATAGGGCGTATTTCGCTCTACTCATGACTCATTGACTCTCATCATTGACCCTCATGGATTCATGTTGACCTCCTTGTCCCTCGTTGACTTTTATTGACCCTGTGCACTCCGGGCAGCTGTGCTGCACTGCAAGTACTGGCGCCTCATTGACTCCCCTTGGCCCTCATCGACTTTTTTCTCTTCCATTCGTCTTTCCTTGTCAATCCAGGGCATACTGCAGGCGGTGGTGCAGAGCTGCAGTTACTGGCTCCTCATAGATCCCCCAAGACCCCCATTGTCCGTATTTCAACCCCTCCTCACCCCGCCGCACCCATCCATGCCTCTGTCCGCCAGGGCATACTGCAGGCGGCGGTGCAGAACTTCGAGTACTGGCGCCTCATTGACCCCGTTTGACCCCCATTGACCCTCACTGACCGTCATTGACCCTCATTCACCACCCCCTGTCTCCCAGGGCATACTGCAGGCAGCGGTGCAGAACTGCGAGTACTGGCGCCTTATAGTCCCCCATTGACTTTGATTCAACTCTCGTGTTTCTGTTCCTCAGGGCATACTGCAGGCAGCGGTGCAGAACTGCGATTACTGGCGCAGCGGCGCCTCATTGACCCTCATAGACTTCCCATGGACCCCCATTGTCCTCCACTGACCGTGATTCAACCCCTCCTCACCCCTCCCCACCCCTCCATGCCTCTGTCCCCCAGGGCATACTGCAGGCAGCGGTGCAGAACTGCGAGTACTGGCGCCTCATAGACCCCCAGGGCAGGCCTCCTGGTCTCATCGGCCTGCTGCCTGGCAAGGTGGGCATCCCATCGAAATTGCTCTCTGGGGGCAGGCCTATGGGTGCCGTTTCCCTGCCTGCTGCAGATGGTCAGGCATCCGATTACAGTCCTGCTCTTGGCCTTTCCATAATCAATTCCGTAACCTACTTCTCCTAGCCTCCTGCTGTCTCCATCCAGCTTTCTATCATTCAACCCTTAAAGTAAACCCTCCCTCTCCCCCCCCCCCACACACACACCTCTTACTCTGTGCCCTGCATCCTGGCCATCATGTGCTCTCCTGCCCTTCACCAGGCAGTCACATTCGTGGACTTTCATTCCACAGGCTCTTTTGTTCCCATGCCTCTCCATCCTCCCTTTCTCACTCCTTCTCTCCCCCCTCTCCGCCCCCCCCCCTTCTTCCCCCCTTCGCCAGGCAGTCACATTCGTGGACAATCACTCCACGGGCTCTACGCAGCAACACTGGCCCTTCCCCGCCTGGGGTGTCACTCTTGGGTGAGACGAGAGAGACGGGATGTGGTGGGATAGGCCAGGCCAGGGTAGGGTGGGATAATGGTGGGTGGCATAGGGATAGGGTGGATGGAGTAGGGTGGGATGCGCTGCAGTATGGTGACAAAGTAGGTCTTTTGGGTTTAGGTAGGTGTGTTTAGGACAACAAAACGAACCTCATGGTTCAAATGGGAGGATGGGCCTGATTTGTTCAGGAGGCTGGGAGGCTTGAGCCACCTCATCAGTGTTTTCTGGTACTCGCTCGCTGCTTCTGCCACGCTTTTCCGAGTTGGTGTTCTTCCTTCTCACGTTGTCTCATGACGTTCCCAGTACAGGAGGTTTGCTCTATCTTCGCTTATACCACACACACCCGTGTGACTTCTTTTGAGTTGCTTTGACTCACTTGTTGCGTTCCACACCCCTCACCCCCAACCTCCCAACCTTCCTGCAACCCCCACCCACCCTTCCTACACTCCACACCCTTCCTACACTCCACACCCTTCCCGTACCCTCCCCACCTCCCCCCCCTTTCTCCGCCCCCAACCACCTCACTTGTTTCCATTTTTTTAGTCAACTCAAAAGTCGCCCCAACCACCTCACTTGTTTCCATTTTTTTAGTCAACTCAAAAGTCGCCCCAACCACCTCACTTGTTTCCATTTTTTTAGTCAACTCAAAAGTCGCCCCAACCACCTCACTTGTTTCCATTTTTTTAGTCAACTCAAAAGTCGCCCCAACCACCTCACTTGTTTCCATTTTTTTAGTCAACTCAAAAGTCGCCCCAACCACCTCACTTGTTTCCATTTTTTTTGTCAACTCAAAAGTCGCCCCAACCACCTCACTTGTTTCCATTTTTTTAGTCAACTCAAAAGTCGCCCCGACCACCTCACTTGTTTCCATTTTTTTTGTCAACTCAAAAGTCGCCCCAACCACCTCACTTGTTTCCATTTTTTTAGTCAACTCAAAAGTCGCCCCGACCACCTCACTTGTTCCCCTGTGCAGGTACGTGTACATTCTGACCCACCCGGGCGTGCCGTGTGTGTTCATCGACCACCTGTACGAGTGGAATCTCAAGGTCAGTGCTTTCTTGAGCTCCAGCAGGCAGCAGAACCATCCACCATCTTCCATCCACTATGATCACGGTTTTTTTGAAGTCTCGGAAACTGACCCTTCCGGGCGTGATTTTTTAGTTGACTAAAAAATCAAAAGCTGACCCACCCGGGTGTGCCGTGTGTGTTCATCAACCACCATTACGAGTGGAACCTCAAGCCAGTGTAGCTCAAGTCAGTTGTCCTTTCTTGACCTCCGGCAGCAGAACCGTCCACCAGCTATGATGCCCCATCCACACTCCATTTCCGCCTTGCAAGCTGAGTATTGACTCAATATGCGGAAAAAAGAGAGAGAGAGCAAAAAAAAAAAACAACAACAACAAAAAAACAAAACAAAACAAACAGCCCGTTCAACTACAGGGCGTTGTTAGGACTTCACGCAACAATATCTCTACCACCTTTTCTTATTCCGCAATATCTCCTGGCATCCACGCTTTCATCATCGCAGGACTCGATTCAGAAGCTGCTGGCGATCCGGCATCGCAACAGCATCACATCAAGGAGCACCATCCGCATCATGGCGTGCAGCACGCAGCTCTATGTGGCGCGCATTGGCACCAATGTGGATGAGGGGAGGCTGTTCCGCGGGGTGGTTGTGAAGCTCGGCCCGTCGTTCGACATGCACGGGACTGCACCAGGTACTGTGGGTCAGCGTGAGTCTCTGTGGATCGCTGTGGGTAGCTGTAAATTGTGCTGATTTAGCGTTCATCTTGACGCTTATTGATTGGTACTAATGCTGGGGATGATAAGAGGATGTTTAGTGGAGATAGGGCACCAGGTACTGTACATCACAGAAGATGGTGCTTCTATGATTTTTCTTCTGGTTCAGTCCAAACTTTTAACATGACTAGTGAGTGCTGAGAAAGTGCACTTTTCACGCCCCCCCCCTCCTCTCCCCCCTCCCCCCTCTCCTCTCTATTGTTGCAGATTCGTCTTGGCAGATTGCTATGTCAGGTCATGACTTCTGCATATGGGAAAAGAACACTGACGTGCAGTGACTAGACGAAGATGTAACAAGTGGGAAATGCCTTTAGTCTGTCATGCTGTGTGATGTTTGGTGTGGTGGACATTTTTTTTCCACACTGCCTTCTGTTGGACATACAGAGAAACGAGCATACGCATTCCCTTGTGCTGTACTCTGTAGCTGCTTCTCCGATTTGTGGACAACTGTGCTGTTTTACAAGAGGCCACATTTGACAGCTTTATCAGAGGCCATGACGAATGTTTGCGGTGGTTGTAATCATTCAGTTAGTGCGGCGCCTAATGCGGCAGGTGTGACGAGTGCGGTTCGCGGCTGGCATGTGCCACGCATTTTGTACCACCTCGGCCTCACCCACCGCTCTCCCCGTCATTGAATGGATGTCAGCGGCAAGCCACCTACTCTCGAGGTGAGTTGACGTGGCGTTTCATGCTGTCCACGTCCTGCTTTCTCAATGTTTGGCGTTGACCAGCATTGCCGGTGGGTGACCCAGTGGGTTCTGCTGCCAGAAGCGGAAACACCAAGGCCAAGGGAAAACAGTGGAAACTTGCACCCTTGCTGCTGAAGTGGAGTTCCGCAGATGTAACTCGCACTGCTCATCGGTCGTGCTTGGTTTCATCGAATTCCAGGCTGGCATTTGTGGACCCTTCGCCTGGTTCCACGGACTGGTCGACGTCAGCGCTGCCACGCTGTTTCTTCGAACCAACCGCGGATCGTGTCGCCATCTCGAAAGGCGAATCGCGGCCCGTGCATTGGAAATTGCGGCGGTGCGGAATCCTACCCCGAATGCACATGGCACACCGATCGACCTCCTTTTTCCTCATGTGAGTGAGGGCGACGTCAGGTCAGGGTGCACATTTCTCCCACATTTACAATTCTTGCATCAAGATTTACCGTTTTGAACCGTGACGAAACGAATTGGACCGCAGTGAGCGCACAAAAGTTGCGCAGCCTGACGTCACCCACAAAGCTGACGCCATCTCGACTCTACTCAACTCAACTCAGCCTAGCACAATTGTGTCCATAAATCGTAGCTCTCTGAAATCTTCAACACAAATTACTTTTGCAACTCCACCTTATCCACTAATAGCCGGAACCCTTTCGTACCAATTCAGCGACCAAAGCTGTTGAAGGCCTTTTGAACCCCTTACATTCTTCAGCGAATTATTTCTACACAATGGCCATGTTCCGTTTCCCTTCTATCCACGCGCTTGCGCTGGTCTGCTCCATCGCCCTGGTGCTGCTTACAACTACCCAGGCTCTGCCAGACGGCGAGTTGGCGTCGCTTATCAACAGCCGACGATCTCTAGCGGCGAAGAAGCTCCAATGCCCCAGCGGCGCTGGAGTTTGCCCGTACAGGAGTGTCACAACGTGCAGCCAGCCTCCCATTTACTGCTCTGGCGCCTGCTGCATCGTAAGTGCCACATACTCGAATTTCTGTTTCTGTTTTTCTCATCAGACTTGTCGCATCATCCAGTAACACCTTCCGTTTTCTCAATTTCTACCATTCCATCATCTTGTGTTTTCGTGGCAGAACAACGTGGAGTACCCGTGCTGTGGAGGAACCATGTGCTGCAAGGCGGGTGGGTGCATGAAGAAGAAAAACGGCTCGTACGCGTGCTGTCCCGTCGGGACCAAGGCATGCGGGGTGGGCAAATGCTGCCCGAGTGCATAGTAGTGCTTACCAAGGCATACAACAGCAGGACGGAGAGAAACGGTCTTGTATGCTTGCTGCCTCATCAGGTCCACAGCGCGTGGATCCAGCTAGTAGTACTAGCCAGGGTTATTAGCAGTGCCCCATACCCCTTGTGAATAGGATTGTGAACGCCTTATTCTAGATGCTTGAAAATCATTTTGGTACCAAATTTGGCTTGTTGAAGTTTTCTTTAGTATATAAACTATCCATCATATCCATTCCTACGTGGGTTCAGCAGGTAGACCTTTCCTGGCCCTGCTTGACAAACTAAGAGTATGTAGGAAGGCACGAAGTGAGGCTATTAGATTCAAATATAATAAAACCACCAACGGAAATAAATAAATACAGGGATAAAGGGAATATATACAGGGAAAAAGGGAATAAAGATAAAGGACAAACATGAAGGAAGCATACAGGGTGCATACATGAATCATTGCACTCAATTGAATAAGGATAAAGGGAGTATGTCTAAAGGGTGTAAGGAAGCTGGCCGCCTACGGGCACATCTCCCATTGGTGGAAGCTCTTATCCACAATCCCGCCACCCAATCGGATCGCCCGGTTGAGCGCGTCCAAGGCGGGCGGCACACCAAATAGATAGGGCACGGCAACGGTGAGCCGCAGATGCTCGTGCAGACCCTGCCCCATCTCCAGCTTCGAGTCCACCACCTGGTGACACAGGATTAGATATCAAGGGAATTAGTGCCTTTCGGTGACATGACATGCTTCCTGCCTGCCTGCCACATATGCATATTATGCATATGTGTGTAGGTGTAGTTATAGTAGCAAATATGTCCGCACGGAGTGGATTTACATTATGTGCAATTGCTCACCTCTTCGCCAGACATGAGAACAGTGTTTGCTACGAGATCAGAGACAAGTTGGATTCTGAAAATTCTCAAAAACCAACGTGCTCATATGTAAAATCGCTCACCTCCCCGCCAGCCATGAGAACCGTGTCCGCTACGACGTCTGAGAGCATCTCAGGGGAGCGACAGAACCCCACCACACAGAAGAGACGTGACGCATCAAGACCCTGTAAGGAGGGGAAGGAGGGAGAGGAGTGGAGAGGAGCGGAGAGGAGTGGAGAGTTGTGGAAGGAAGAGAAGGAGAGAAGTTGCAGTCACGATAAGAGAAAGGGGGAGCGGCAGAAACCCACCACACAGAAGAGGCACGATGCGTCAAGACCCTGGAGGGGTGGGGGGGTTGGAAGTGAGAGGAGTGGAGAGGAGTGGAGAGGAGTGGAGAGGAGAGAGGATGCAGAGCCGCGATTGCCCTCTCCCCTTCCACTCTTCACACCCCCTCCCCCCCCCCCCCCCCCACAACCTCCTCCCCTCCCCCCTCACCCCACCCCAAACAAATCAACACCCCTTAACTTCTCTCCCGTTGAAGGCGCGGATATCAAACAGCGACGCGAGGCACAGGCCCTGCTGCGCGCGCATGTATCGGCGCACTTTCCCCCCTTTTCCCCCCACATCCTCGATCAACTTCTCTTTCCCCCCTCCCACCCGCACTTCCTCCGAAAACATCACCACGCCCTTCCCGTGCACTCACGTTGAAGGCGCGAATGTCAAACAGCGACGCGAGGCACAGGCCCTGCTGCGGATCCATGTATCGCCGCTCCGAGAAGCGGTGCGACGCTGCTGCCGATGATGGTGGTGCGGCGGGCACAGGCACGTGCGCGGCCTCGTGGATTTGAAACACCCCTTGGGAAGTGAAGAACGTGATACTCTGCCGACGAGCCTCCCACGATGTTTCGGCGTCTGGTGGTAGATGGGAGTAGGGATTTGTGGAGGGGTGGAAACTGAGAAGACTGTTCCATGCTCTCCCACCCCTCCATGATGATTCGTATGCTGTGCGAGCATGCTTGGACATCTGCGAGTTATTCCAGCAGTGCTGCTTTTCAGAGCATGAGTGAACATGATGATGTCTGCGCGGCTGGCGACACATGGGAGTGGGGTTCCGAGGGATGGTGGGAATGGGAACTGAGAGGCCGAACATAGGCTGAGGCATTTGACAATATCCTTGGTAACACTGTTTCAAGCATAATACACTTGACGCACGATGTTTAACTATCGATTTGATTGAAGAAATGCGTCGAACGAAACCTACGAGGACTCACCGACGAGACATTCAAGACGTCTCAGAACTTACCACGACTCACCAAACTCCCCTCGCGCCACGCTCACCAGCCTCAAACTATACAACGGCTCACCAGACTCCCACGGGTAATTCCACCCCATGCTCCCCTCGTCGCTCCCGCCTGTTGGAGATTACGTGTGTTGGAAGCAAGGTGGTGGTGGGGCGTTTGTATGCCCCCAACCCACCGAATGTGTGACTTGTGCTCACCTTCGAGTGAGTTGCAGGTTTGCGTGGGGTTGAGGATTGACTTCGGAAGACCCATTCGATTCGGTGCCACATGGCAGCACCAGGAACATTCGAGACCCAAGGAGAATTCGGATCGGTGAAATTCGAGAGTCGAATTTCACCCTTTCGATGTTACTCGAACATTCGCGAGTGTAGCGGTTCGAGGTTACTTGTGCGATTCGATCTTGTTTGCATGCTATAAATCTGTTTTCTTTGTATTGCATGCCATCATAGTGAAACTCAGAGTTCTTTGTACAAGGTACATTCGAACACAAATTCCAGAGAGCTTCTTTACTTGCATTCAAGAGCACCACCTAGCACGTGAACGCCTATATCTCGGAGAATACTTAGGCGATCGACGTGTTTGACGGCTCGTTGGAAAGCTAAGACAGAGCTCTATCGTTTAGAACGACTCCCAGTTCCTGCAAAGTAGAGGAGACGCCTCTACAACAGTGGTATCAGAGCTGGTCGGAGGAGTCTACGCGCGCGACAAGGAGCACGCATGATGACTTCAAGCGAGGCCTCCCGCACTTCCTTGGATGGTGTCGTTGTAAATTCCGGCGAACCCTGGGCAACCGCGACGATGTTCGACACGTCGGCGGTACCGATTTTCACGGGACAAAACTACTCCGCGTGGAAGTTTAAGTTCCAAGTGCTCATGATGGAGCGGGGACTTTGGGGTTTCTTCGATGGAACGGAGAAGAAGCCGGACGATGAGAGCGGCATCGCGGCATGGAAGAAGAAGGACCAAAAGGCGTTCGCTACGTTGATTTCGCGCATCGGCATCAATCTCGTGAGCTCGGTGCGCATGTGCATCAAGCTCGAAGCGTCGGCGCATGAAGCGTGGAAGCGGCTCGAGACCATCCACGTGAACAAGACTCTCCACGGCAAGATCCTAGCCCGGAATGCGTTTTACACGGTGAAGATGCGCGCGGGCGAATCGATGCACGAGTTTGCGACTCGTGTGGAGGAACTCGGGGAAACGTTCATGGACCTCGGTGGAACGGTCACGGAGGAGGATTGGATTCTCACCTTGCTTTGCGGCCTTCCGGAAGAGTGGTCGACGGTGATTACGACACTCGATAGCGTGCAAGACACTTGGACGAAGGAAATGGTGGTTGGTCGGCTTCTCCATGAAGAATCGCGTCGCCGACAATTCGCTAATGAGAGCGAGGGTGCCGCCATGTACTCCGGAGGGAGTTCCGGAAAGAAGTCCAAGTGGAGCAAGGACGCAACGAAGGAATCGTCCGGTGGGAGCGAGCATCGCGGCAAGTGTCACTATTGCCGCAAACCGGGACACTTTTGGCGTGAGTGTCGAAAGCGGCCGAGCGATTGGACTCCATCGATGGCGCGGGACCAAGAGGGCAACGCGCACACGGCATCCGGCGAGGCCGATGATTCAAAGGAGTCGCTCGTGTTAGTGGCCGGCAACGGGAACAAAACTCCAAGCGACGCGTGGTTCCTCGATACCGGCGCAACGCAACACATGACGCACTCGGCGTCGCTCCTCAACAACATTGGCGCTCCGGGAGACGTCACGAGCATCGTGTTCGGAAACAACGAATCGCTACCAGTGGTCGGAGTTGGGAGTACGCGCCTCATCGTCGATAGCGGTCCGGTGGACGTGACGAACGTGTTTCACGTCCCGGGGGTGAAGGTGAACCTTCTATCCGTCCCGCAACTTGCGAAGAAGGGAGTGATCGCCACGATCGACGGCGCGAACATGAACCTTTTTTGGAAGGGGAAGCAATTCGCACAAGGCGTTCTCAACGGAGAACTCTACCAACTCAAGACGCACCCGGGAGCGGCTTCATCCAACGTGGCGCAAGGTTCCAAGGCGACTCTCAAGGCGTGGCATAATCGACTTGCGCACGCCAACTACGACTCGGTCAAGGAGTTAGCCAACAAAGGACTCGCGAAGGGAGTCGACGTGATCGCCGGCGACGACGAGAAGGGCGTGTGCGCGGCGTGTGTCGAAGGAAAAATGGCTCGCAAGCCATTCGGTAGCCGAACGTCACCCCTCGCTAAGGACCCGCTTGCGCTTGTTCACATGGACGTGTGTGGACCGATGCGGCATGCATCAAAGGGAGGAGCGCGGTTCCTCTTGGTAATGCTCGACGATGCGACGCGGATGTGTTGGACCCGACTTTTGAAGGCTAAGGGAGATGCGGCCAAGGCGATTCAAGAGTGGGCGCTCGAAGTTTGCGACGATGACAAGAAGCGGATCAAGTGTATTCGCACCGATGGTGGTGGCGAATTCGTGAATGCGGAGCTCGAGAAATGGATGAAGTGCAAGGGCATTAAGCACGACGTCACAACACCCTACACACCCCAACAAAATGGAGCGGCGGAGCGGCTTAATCGCACGTTGGTGGAAGCCGTTCGTTCTCTTCTTCAACACTCCAAGCTTGGGAAAGAGTGGTGGGGCGAGGCGAGTTCGCTAGCGGCGTGGATTCGCAACCGTTTGCTGACGAAGGTGCTCCCGGGAATGACTCCGTTCGAAGCATGGACCGGAACGAAGCCGAACCTATCCCGCCTTCGCACCTTTGGGTGTCTTTGCTACTACCATGTACCGGATCCCCTTCGCCACAAGTTGCAACCGAAGGCTCGTGCGGCGATCTACTTGGGAATTGCGGCGAACGAGCGTGCGTGGCGAGTGTGGGACTTGGGCGACAAGTGCGTCGTCACGTCTCGGGACGTGGTCTTCGATGAAGACAAGTTCCCGTCGAAGGAGAAACCCACTCAACAACTCACCTTCATCCTTCCGCCACGAGAGGAGGTTGAAGAGAGTGAGACTCCACCTCAAGTGGAGAAGGAAGCCGATGGAGGGGGGGCGAACAACGAGGAGAGCATTGATGATGTCGTGGAGGTGTCACCAACCGAGGCGGCAACTACCTCCACACCTTCCTCCCTACCATTGGCCTTGACCCGCGAGCGTTGTGAGGTTCGTCCTCCCTCCAAGTACAACGACTACGCTACGGTAGCCGTTGGGGAGACGGATAAGGAGGGCGCGGCATTTTGCTTCGCAACCAAGGGTGATGATGAACACGCGAAATCTCTCATGGAACCACCCCCTAAAGATTCATCCCGTGCATGCTATGAGCATGTTGGTTTGCACACCTAGTGGGTTGGGTGCAAGGGGAGTGTTGGAGATTACGTGTGTTGGAAGCAAGGTGGTGGTGGGGCGTTTGTATGCCCCCAACCCACCGAATGTGTGACTTGTGCTCACCTTCGAGTGAGTTGCAGGTTTGCGTGGGGTTGAGGATTGACTTCGGAAGACCCATTCGATTCGGTGCCACATGGCAGCACCAGGAACATTCGAGACCCAAGGAGAATTCGGATCGGTGAAATTCGAGAGTCGAATTTCACCCTTTCGATGTTACTCGAACATTCGCGAGTGTAGCGGTTCGAGGTTACTTGTGCGATTCGATCTTGTTTGCATGCTATAAATCTGTTTTCTTTGTATTGCATGCCATCATAGTGAAACTCAGAGTTCTTTGTACAAGGTACATTCGAACACAAATTCCAGAGAGCTTCTTTACTTGCATTCAAGAGCACCACCTAGCACGTGAACGCCTATATCTCGGAGAATACTTAGGCGATCGACGTGTTTGACGGCTCGTTGGAAAGCTAAGACAGAGCTCTATCGTTTAGAACAACTCCCAGTTCCTGCAAAGTAGAGGAGACGCCTCTACAACAGTGGTATCAGAGCTGGTCGGAGGAGTCTACGCGCGCGACAAGGAGCACGCATGATGACTTCAAGCGAGGCCTCCCGCACTTCCTTGGATGGTGTCGTTGTAAATTCCGGCGAAACCTGGGCAACCGCGACGATGTTCGACACGTCGGCGGTACCGATTTTCACGGGACAAAACTACTCCGCGTGGAAGTTTAAGTTCCAAGTGCTCATGATGGAGCGGGGACTTTGGGGTTTCTTCGATGGAACGGAGAAGAAGCCGGACGATGAGAGCGGCATCGCGGCATGGAAGAAGAAGGACCAAAAGGCGTTCGCTACGTTGATTTCGCGCATCGGCATCAATCTCGTGAGCTCGGTGCGCATGTGCATCAAGCTCGAAGCGTCGGCGCATGAAGCGTGGAAGCGGCTCGAGACCATCCACGTGAACAAGACTCTCCACGGCAAGATCCTAGCCCGGAATGCGTTTTACACGGTGAAGATGCGCGCGGGCGAATCGATGCACGAGTTTGCGACTCGTGTGGAGGAACTCGGGGAAACGTTCATGGACCTCGGTGGAACGGTCACGGAGGAGGATTGGATTCTCACCTTGCTTTGCGGCCTTCCGGAAGAGTGGTCGACGGTGATTACGACACTCGATAGCGTGCAAGACACTTGGACGAAGGAAATGGTGGTTGGTCGGCTTCTCCATGAAGAATCGCGTCGCCGACAATTCGCTAATGAGAGCGAGGGTGCCGCCATGTACTCCGGAGGGAGTTCCGGAAAGAAGTCCAAGTGGAGCAAGGACGCAACGAAGGAATCGTCCGGTGGGAGCGAGCATCGCGGCAAGTGTCACTATTGCCGCAAACCGGGACACTTTTGGCGTGAGTGTCGAAAGCGGCCGAGCGATTGGACTCCATCGATGGCGCGGGACCAAGAGGGCAACGCGCACACGGCATCCGGCGAGGCCGATGATTCAAAGGAGTCGCTCGTGTTAGTGGCCGGCAACGGGAACAAAACTCCAAGCGACGCGTGGTTCCTCGATACCGGCGCAACGCAACACATGACGCACTCGGCGTCGCTCCTCAACAACATTGGCGCTCCGGGAGACGTCACGAGCATCGTGTTCGGAAACAACGAATCGCTACCAGTGGTCGGAGTTGGGAGTACGCGCCTCATCGTCGATAGCGGTCCGGTGGACGTGAC